TAACAACACTTACCCATCTTGGCTTAAAATCTTGATTGCCTGTTACCTGAAGCTTTATTTGAAATCACAGGCAACATTTTTCCGTCCTCCACAAATGTTTTAACAGTTAGACAGAACAGAGCAATATTACATGTGTTTCCTAACACCGAATCTAATGCTGAGGAAGTCGCAGTTTTGAATCATGACAATCGGCAGTTGCGTCTGCTCTGCACTAGCACCAAGATGGCAGTGCCCACAATAATATCAGGGAACATAGTGCTGATACTCTAAGTGTAGCTTATTTAGTGGCTCTAGCCTTGATATTACACCTTTGAATAGTGATTACAGTGTAATAAGGTAATTACGGTAGTGCACACAGCTTGTGTAGCCTCTTGCATCGTACTGAAAAAGAAAACAAAATGTGATGGTGCATTTGTAAAATTTCACAAATTGCACATTGTTTCTTATGCAAATTGTATTTATTAAGGTAATAATATGCTAAAAACTTATGCAATGCATAATTGTAGCTAATTATTGTGACAAGATAATGAAACACACTAAAAATATGCACAGACGCTTAACATCACCAGATAAAGTGAACATAGTGAAATAGTAAAATTATAATACATGTACTATTGTGGGGTACACACGGGGCCTAACTGTTAGCTTTAACGAAGATAAAATTAACAAAGTATTTAGGTAAAATAAAGTGGTACAATAATGTAAGAGAGACATGCTGGCTAGTTTTGACCGAAAAAAATACAACCAATAATCTATGCAAGATAATGAGTTACTTGAAACACAGCAAAGATCCGTAGAGCTCGAGCGAAAACCGTTAAATAGCGAATTTAGTTTCGTAGCCGTAATTCAAACAAAACATTTATTTTGATTTGTCAAAAACCAAAACCCAAATCGAAACCAGAAACAATTACCTGGTTCGTAGCCGATACATTATAGTGGTTCGACAATAACAACATTTTGGCAAATATTTCCGATAAGAAATCCCACAACGTCGGTTTCTGCCAGTTTAATTATTTTGTTAAAATACCTGCAGGCGGACTACAGAGTTTGTGGGTGCGTAGAAGTAAATCGGAATAGATAAAACAATCCCTGGTTGATTGACTATTTGATGTCTATTTTTAGGTTAGTTGTGGTTTTGTGTACGTCATATCAATGCTGCTTTTCTTCTAACATTCTCTGAGAAGCTCAAGACAAACAAAAAGGATATAACCAAGGGAAAGAAAGAACTCTCATACAGTAGCTGTAAAATAGTTATCCTTTTGCATGAAAAACCAATAACAGTGCGAGAAAATTGCAAAGGGAAATAAATTTCCTTATGACATAGTTTAAAATAGTTATGTACCGTGGCGCATGGAGTCAATAAGAAACCTTCCACGTTTACAATAATAATAAAAAAAAAAAGCTCATAAACCTTGAAAAAAAAGTTTTTTTTTTCTTTACAAAAAGCAGCAGAGATTGGGATAAAGAATTTTACATATCTCATTTTGGGACTGTAGAATTATTTCACATCTCTCAGTCTCACCCACCTTCAAACAACTTCTGACTCAATGTGCCAAGTGAAAAAAAAAAAAAAAAGTAGATATATTTTTATTTGTGTACATAGGTGTTTGAATTATAAAATATTACGTTGCATCGCGTGCTCCATCTGCATCGAACCCATTTTCAATAGCCTGCGAAAATGAAATAATCCAATTCCCATCGTGCGAACACAACATAGAAAAAGGAGCAGCTATCATCCAGGCATTTCCAACTTTGCAGTGTAGCAACTGCTGTCGAACAAAAAGAATGAAATTAAACAAACAACTGCACTGCGCGAAAAAACGACTCACAAGGGCGCGCGTTTGGAATTTCATTTTTTGTGGTGGTGCTCAGGTACTTATTCCCCACCAATACAAGCCTCGTTGTTCATTGGACCTAAATTATAGAATTTATTAAGTTATTTTGTAAAAGAGTTTGAAGCACTGTTATCGCGTCCCAAGGCACCCGACAATGCACTCCTGGCACTGCCCGGCTGTGCACGGAGCAGGGGACGTCGCGGTACTAAGGAGCGGGGCGCCTCCCACATCGTGACGTCGCCGTCTTCCAAGCGCCGACCACTCCCAAAGCACGGCGAAGGCTACGTGGTCGCTACACTACCCCTTTAAGCCACTGTACTGTGATATTTAAAATTCATAAATACACAAAGTGTGCCCCATACCAGGGTTGGGCAGTATCGCGATACAAATGTATCGCGATAGTATTTCAGAAATACATTTCGTATCTGTATTTCTGTATCGCGATACATTTTTTTCACCAGTATCTGTATTACTGTATCGGAATACATTTTGAATGCTCCTTTGTATTGCAATACAATCAGGGTGAAATGTATTTCGTTACATTTCTTGATAAATACCCCCCCCCCCCCCCCCCCCCCCGGAAAAAAAAAACTTAACGCATTTTTTTTTTTTTTACTTTTGAGGGTTTTAGGGCCAAGGAGGTGCTGGGGAATTGTTACCATACTGACCAAGGTTCCTTCCGATCCTCCAAACTATTTTCCTATGCGTCATCTTCGCCCTTCTGAGAAGTGTTGCGTGGTCGGGGACTCGAACTAGGTGGCGTGCCAGGAGTAGAGTCGGAGCATCTTCTGCCGCAGGTCCTTAGGTAGGGATGCCTTGAATTATTATTTGCTGACATCCAATGCCCGCTGCTAACCATCTCTTTTGCCTTAGCGTACGCAGTACACCCGGCCGGCAAAGCTGAGTCACAGTCCGTTGCAGTTCGAGCCTAATGGTGGTTGACTTAAAATAGTAGGATGACCCACGCAGTGAAGTTCAACAGATATTCAGATGCGTCTGCTGCTTCGCCCGTAATATTGCACGACTTAAGGGTACGTCATCAGCCGACGTGAACGTGACCCGCTGCTCTGGTGATCTGAAACCGAGCACGGAAGTCAGACGTGGCCTCGCTGTGCCGACCCAGACTTCGTACACCTGCGACTCGTCTCGAGTTCGCTGTTTCTCAAGGAGCTCGCACTTGTGCCGGCAATATCAGGTCGCAATCCACGAGGTCTCTATTTGGAGTAATCAAGACAAAACCTGAGGACTGCAATCCATGCGTCGGTGGCAGGGGGTCGACAGGAAAGACCTTTACAATAGAGATGCCACCGTATCGTTTTTTCAACCGTAAGAGAAGATAAGACAGGTGTTCCAGGATGCTTCAGGTAGTCCACTATTCTCGAAAAACCCAAATAACACTTCCTGCTCGATCTTCATCGAGGTAACCTGCAACGAAAGTACGTATTGTCCTGTCATACAGCAGCGTGCTAAAGTTTCATGTTCAAGGCCACACCTACAGATAAAGAATGCCAGTTAATTCCACCGTGACGTCATGGGATAAATGTTGACAGGGGCGTCCTTATTGGACTGGGACGTGGTGATTTAGGATGACATATACTTTATTTAGAGGTCGAAGTCTTTTGGCATCCCTCATCAGACAGACAGGATGTCAGGGAAGGGACCGCGGTCAGTCCTTGATGGAACGTTTTTTTGAGCCCATTGAAAACTCCTCGTCGTCCGAAATCACTACCTTCAAAACAAATTTCCAAGCCTACGGTAAAGTAATTTCAGGATAAGAAACTTCAACCTCCAACTTCAAGCATCTCATTTGGCGTCTCAAACAAGTTTTAAAAATGTATTGCAACATCAGTATTTTTGTATTTGTATTTCTGCCCTCCCTAAAATGTATTCCTGTATCTGTATTTCCAAATACTTTTTGCCTCTTTCTAAAATGTATTTCCGATACGTATCGCGATACACTTTTACAGATGTATCTCAGTATCAGTATTTTAGCTACTATTTTAATGTATCCCAGTATTTGTATTTCCAAATACATTTTTGAGTATTTCTGCCCAACCCTGCCCCATACACACCACTATCACTTCTCTGAGTTGAGCTTTAGCTGATACTATCCTTTTTGTGGTCCGTTGCTCCCATAGCGTCATGCCATTGTTCCATGCAAAGCTGCATCCTCACAGGCATTTTTAGTTTTTGCACAAAACATGTGATTATGATAAAGCAGTGTTCTAACTTCCCCTTTGCTAGTGTTTTTATGACTTGCGGCACATGATATGTGTGCCCCAGCTCATGATGGCCTAGAAAGCTAGAACGGCACTTTCCGAACACCTAATATACTGTGCTTCAGAGATGAAATGGTGCTGTAACAGAAATCAAATGATCCAACATCGTCCACTGTCCTCATTGCAACTGTCACAAAAAAAAAAAAAAAAAAACAACAACACTAAAAGTATTGTATTTTCCGGTGTATAAGACGCACCTCTGTATAAGAGGCGCCCCCCACTTTTCGCAAGTTTTTAAGTAAAATTTGGTATAAACACACCACTGAAAATTGTGGAAAAAAAGTGTTATCTATGAGATGCATCATTGTATAAGACGCACCACCACACTTTTCGCAAGTTTCTAAGTAAAATTTGGTATATAAGACGTACCTGTGTATAACACGCACCGCCGAAAATTTTGGAGAAAAAATGTGTCTTATACTCCGGAAAATACAGTAGTTAAATAATGTGATTGAAGCTATCTTTGTATTGGCATCCAATATCAGCAGGACGCCACGTTTGACAAGTGCCCTCGTGGGTCGTGCAGAGATTTCTTTCTGATAGCTCCCCAGTTTGGGAGAAAGCACAAAACAATGTTGAAACCAAAGGTGTAATTCTTCGACTGTTCGCGAGATGGCGCAAAATGTTCCTGCGCGCCAAATTCAAACTTTGGCCATGCGTGAAATCCATTGATGATGGGTGATCAAAGGCCAGTGGGCATGGTGTGGAAAGAATTAAAGAGGGTCAGTCTTGGTTGTCCGTGGATCTGATTTCTAACACGGCTCTCAAGGTCACATTTTATACTCAATAACATTTTGAAAGTTATCCAATTCTTGTGCATTTTGATTGTGGAACAGCCCTTATTAAGTGCACCCGGTGCTTACATGCTCTTTACTGTCTGGTGCAGGAATCTGCCACACGTGTGGGGAGAAGGTCACGGGTGCTGGACAGGCTTGCCAAGCCATGGGGAACCTGTATCATACAAACTGCTTCATCTGCTGTTCCTGTGGTAAGCTGTGGTGTTTGTGCAACTCTCTCGTTAATACAAACATTAAAATTCCATCCTTAAATCCTCATTCCTCCCCATTCAAACGGGGTAAAAGCTTATGGTTCTGAAAGACAATTCTAGACAGGCTCTGGCTCTTCAGAAATTATCTCTAATGAGGTCCCTAGGGCCTTATAATTGCGCTTCACAAAGAAATGCAAAACAAAGTGCTCAGTTTGCGTAGTCGAGGTGCAAACAAAAGTTATTGTGCATTTAAAAAAATTAAGCAAGGTTTATGCTTGCTTAAGTTTTCTTTAACCTTTTGTGTAAATAACATAAATAACAAAAATAGCTGAGAAAGTTAAGCATCCCAATACTAGTGTAGGTACGGAGCACTTGGTGAAATAATTAGAACTAAAGCGAGAGTACAGGCAAGCTGGATCGGTGTTTCAAACAATCGGCTAATCCACACATACTGTTTGACGTGCAACCACTTCGACGTTTCGACTTGCAAAAAATGCCCAAAGCATGGCACTGTCTGGCGGGGGCAACCGAATGTTTCGCAGCACAAGGACGTAAAACATGCAAAATGAGAAGGTAGTCGGCTTTATTTGAGTGTACACATGCTGAGCAAACGAAAGTTTAACATGCTAGACACTCATGAACCAAGCTTTGGACCACTAGGCTTAGTCTAGGCCAAGTCACAGAGACAACATAATCATCAACGTGCAGGCAGACAGATAAATCTTGACATACTTCTCTCTGTGCCGCTAAAAGATAGGCTAGCTGCAATCCATCCTTTTACATATAGCAACACGGCTGTAGCAGATAAAAACTTGCTCTTCAAACGGAAACTAAGAAAGACATGAGAAAAGTTTCTGCAATGTGTGTATACCAGCCCACTTACCTTTGTGTTACTGGACTAAAGCTAAAGAATACGGAACCATGGATGAATCGGGCAACGTCGCTCACATGCTGTTAAAGCTTTATTTTTACTGTCTTGCCTATCCTCTTCGGGGAAACCATAAAATTTCTTGCTTTCTGAGTTGTTATGAAAAGTGTAGCGACAGCCTTCTGGAAGGGGCAACACCACCTATGGCTACGTAGTTACGGTGCTCTACAAAAGATATCGCGTGGTACATAAAAAAATGGCGTCGTTCCGTGAATATAAAGAAAAAAAAACATATCTAAGTCGCATCGTTGTATAAGGCACGCCAAGAAAAATGTTTGAAAAAACTGTGGCTTATACACCGGAAAATACGGTGTTTGGGATCAAATAAAGGGTAGGGCAATTTTCATAGAAGCTTGACATTTGTGTATGAAGCTGTGCCACTCTTCCCTGACGAATCTGTGGTATACAAATTAAGCCAATAAACCACAATTTTATTACTAGAATATAAAGTAGGGAGTGTAGAACTTCAGGCTGTCTAGTCTATATTATTAAAATGTAAATATTTGTGAAAGAAAAACTACACATAAATGAGGAGCATTTTCTTGCGCTGATTTGTCAATACATCACTTTTCTTCATTATGTTTTTAACTTAATGACAAATAAAATGAATGCCCAATTCCCTAGTAAATTTCAGTTCATAAACTTCTGAAACAAGGTGTAGGAATACTTTTATTGTGAAGCAAAATATGCTTTCATACAAAGTTTGGAGCTAAAAAGTGAAACTGAGAAATATGAATTCAAACATTGAGACCTTTTACTTTATTAATTTCTTGCAATCTGTGTCCTTCAAAAAAGCCCCAGCAGAGTAGGTCTCTCCCTCAGCTGCCTGGTCCTATTGTCTCTTGAGAATTTCCTGCAGCATCCTTTGTTTGTGGGCCACATGGAAGACTATGCTATGTGCCTTCTGCTTTGCTTTTGAGATCTTGGATTGCACGGCTTTGTGCTGCACCTTGCGACTCCCAGCCTCTATCCCCATCTAAAAAGGATCCCTCTAAAAGCCCTGAAGGCCCATGTTGAACTCGAGTACTGCGAGTACAACAGCTGCTTCTATCATTTTTTGAGACACAAGGTCCGTCTTCAAACGGCACCTCTAGATCAGAGCATTGAGTATGTTGTTCGCATTCTGATTCTTCATTCGGACACAACTCTAGAGAAGGTCATGCCAGGGAACATGGTTGACCAGAGGAACCAAATCTTTTGTAATTTCCCTAAAGAAGGTGGGGCTGTGCAGCTGCGGCTTTCCCACTGCACACCCAGTCAAACTTGTTCACAACTGATTATCCTGGTCATGACTTCACCGGTAGAAATCCTAGGAGGACACCGCCACAATGTCTGTCGCCATTAGTCCATTGTTGTGCTATCACATCAGTGCATAGTCATATTGTTTATTGTTCTAACTCGGGTCTGTTTGTGTTTAGTGCTGAGCTGAGTACTTAAATAAATTGGAACTAACTGTGGTTACCTTTTCTTTTTACCTGAATTTGAACATAAAAAAATGCTCACAACTTACTAAATCTCTTACAGGTAGGGCACTCAGGGGGAAAGCCTTCTACAACGTGCATGGCAAAGTGTATTGTGAAGAAGACTACCTGGTATGTATGACACGCTTAATCAGTGCAAAGTTAATGTGGATATTTGATTAAGCAGTTGCTCATTTAATTTTATATCCGCCATGATACCTCTTTCAGAATATTAATTGCTATCAAACTTGCCATATCTTAGAAGTGTGAGGCTGTTTCTTTAGGGGAACCAGTCATTGCTTGAAAACTTGGGGTTAATATCAGCACCACAGCTTCCATTCAGCTTCGAAACTTTGGACGTTGCAACCTACCTCAGCATATACGGTAGCTTTTTGTTAATTTGTTTTAGAATGGTTAGTTTCGGAATTTTATATATATTTTTCTATTGCAATGTCTACATCACCATTTGTGGCAAGGCAGTGTGGATGGGAGGTACAAAAAAGACAGCTAGAGGCGGAAACAATAATGATGTCGTCATCAAGAGTACTTCTCCATTGGATTCTAAGTTGTAATACTGTGTCTTGCAGTACTCCGGTTTTCAGCAGACTGCAGAGAAATGTGCTGTCTGCGGCCACCTCATCATGGAAATGGTGAGTGACTGTGCGACTCGCATAGTTTATAGCGTTCTTGTTGGAGGACGCCGAACTTCCGTATCTGTGATATGCAACTTGCTGGGTTTCCTCGAGACTATGATAAATAGAAAAGGTACTGTACTAGTAGTTCCAACTTTTTTTTGTCAATATTATTTTAATTTGTAAAACTGTATAGGTGACAGAGACATAAGCAATAATCCAGCAACATTGGCTTGATCAGGTCCAAGCCTCTTTCCTTGGTATGGCAGACAGACAATCATGAGAGAAGAAAAGAAGCAAGAAAGACATCCATGCAACAGACAACTAATCCACAGACCTTATTCAGTTTGAACCACATACCCTAAAATCCATTTGGCATATTTTTAATGTTTAAAACTGTAAACATGAAACCTTAATGATAAGGTATTGAAGCACATGCCATATTGGAATATAAATGTCAGAGAAATTTAGAGCATATAGAGAAAAGTCTCCTCCTCCTTGAAGCAAAGATTCTTGCTTTGTTTACATATTTTGCTTCCTTTTGTACCCTGTTGCTATGGCTTTTGCAACTGGGTTCCATGGTCCCTGAGGTGGAAGTAATGTCAGATAAGGTATCTTGTGCATTCTTCTATGACTGCTCTTATCTGGTACTCCTAGCACATTCACAGTGTTTGTTTAAACCTGCTGCTGCATTTGATGCAAACTCCATAAGTCACCTGCAGTCTCATGAGACAAAATTTGCTGTGTGACACTGTTAGCATGAACATGTTTCTCATTCTCTTATTGTGCTTATTGCTGCTAGTTTACTAATGCATGATGTGTCTTTATTTCTTAGAAAACTGTTAGTGGTGCTCTCACCAGCAAATAGATGTGGTTGGTGATATTTAACAGGACTATCAGATTATGCTCGCAGGTTTCATAGGCTACTTAATGCAACTCAGATAAACTAGTAAAGTTACAATACTAAGACAATAAATCACTATCCTCAAGGCTATTGGTGTGCTATAATGTCCAATAATAACTTAGGTGTTGAATTAGTAGTGCTTGATGCTGAATTGGTGAGCGGCTTTTGGCAACTTCCGGTTCCTTAGGAAATTTTGTTTCACTGTTGACAAACGACGACGGTGAGCTGCAAGCTTGTGCAAGCATAATTCTGAAACCTCCAGACTGTAGTTTTCAGAACCATGCTTAGACAGGCTTGCAGATTATCGTCGCCGTTTGCCAACAGCTAAACAAAATTTCCTAAGGAACCAGAAGTTGCCAAACGCCGCTCACCTATTGTGTGATTAAGATATGAAGTATTGCTGATCTTGTATTTGGGAGCAGTAAAATAAAGGTACTGTCGACCTTACTAATCGGAATATAATTTTTACAGTGAAGTTTTATGGTTTCAAACCAGAAGAATATCTCTAATCTGTCACGAAGACTTCTTGCTCGAAAAAGCGCTCCTCCCTGCAACACCACCTGGCATGAGGCGGCAACTTTAACACTCTGTCGCAATACTCTAATTAAATTTCACCGTGGTGGTCATCTATTCAGTGTCTGTGTATAGGAGTTACAGTAAAAGCCTGTAGATTAGACGACAGACTTTCATAACTACAGTGTTCTCTGAACTCTGCATGGTGCAGCAGAGTTGACACTGGCGCTACCACTTCCAGATCTTGCAAGCCATGGGCAAATCGTACCACCCTGGCTGCTTCCGGTGCTGCATCTGCAACGAGTGCTTAGACGGCGTGCCATTCACAATTGACATGGACAACAAGATCTACTGCGTTAATGACTATCACAAGTAGGTGCTCTTGTTCTTCTGCTGCTTAGAATGAATGCTTCACTGTTCTGGGTTTGATTTGTCTGTTATTTAGGAAGGTAGCTATCAACAGCTATTTACGATGCCAAGTAAACATTTTGAGAAACTCCTGTGAGACATGCCATTTCGAGAGCACTTGGCCAGGCCACAGGGAACTTGGGATTTATCTTTGTAGATATAGATATTATAGTGGATATGGAGAGTCGAAACACACATGAAATATTCTAGTTGGAATATTAGGTAGCACATTGGGTGTGGTGGCAATTGGATGTAAGTGGCATCATGTAGTGCCTTAAAGAGTCTTTTCTGTCTTCATGGTTTGCCCTAGTATGAAAACAAGTATATATGTAAGTTAATTACGGTAGGCTCCAGGTTTTAAATTCTTTTATACTATCTGAGGGTGTCTTGTTTTTGTAAATCTCATGTAACCACTGTTTCTGGCAGGATGTTTGCACCAAAATGTGCTGCCTGTGGGAAGGCAATCACGCCTGTAGAGGTAAGTCATTTGTATGCAGTTTCTCTGCTTTTGGCAGTGCACTCTGAAACTTTAATTCAGAAATAAGTGGATGCCTTGAAAGCCCCATGAAGTTAATAATAAACAAAAACAATTGCAGTGGGAGGGGGCCATCTTTAGTATGAACCACTGAATTACTGATCTTGCATTATATGTCAGTGTTTAGCACTGCATATTTAGCTCTATGATTTGTAGACTCAACTGAATTAAAATGGCTGATTGGGCTAGTCTGTTGTGATTCATTGTAAAGGGGCACTAAAGTGCTTTTTGAGATCCTCATTTTATGGTCATAACTCAATCTGCGAGTTCTAAGCATCCTAAGAAACCAGAAATTACATTTATCCGTGGCCGATTTGCATATTAAAAAATGGTCAAAGATTGCGACACTTGCTGTTGTCGCAAAACAACAGATGGCGCTACCGAAACTCGCTGAATAGTGTGGTCTTGTATGGTCGAACGACAGATGGCAGTTGTCAGCCCCTCGCAAGCAATGGGTTCCTGCGTAGACGAGCGGCCAACTAGTCCCGCTCATTTACGCATCCACGCGGGAACCCATCGCTCGCAAGTGGCTGACAAGTGCCGTCCGTCGTTCAACCATATTCAGCAAGGTTCGGTAGCGCCATTTGTCGTTCTGCGACAGCAGTAAATGTTGCTATCTTTGATGACTTTTTTAATATGCAAATCGGCTGCGGATTAGTTTAATTGCAGTTTTTTACAGCTGAGCTGTTAAGGGCTAGGTTTCCCAGGATCGTGTCCGGTATGTTGACACAAACCTACCTGGACAGCTACCGCCATCTATAAGCGACGGCGGCAAGCACACAACCAGTCTGGTTTCCGCCGTCGCTCGTAGATGGCGGCAACCTTTCCACCTATCATAGAAGAATATAGTTGGGCACGTTGGTGGGAATTCATTGTAGGAAACAGCGCGAAAAACAGACGACGAAGAAGAAGCACACGTAACGAGTGCAGCGCTCGTCGCGTTTGTTTCGTCGTCCTCGTCTGTTTTGCACGCTGTTTCCTACGCTCCTACGCTCTTATCAGTTTCGGTTTCGACTCACAATGGGTTGGCCGCGTGCCCTTTCGGGGAAAGGAGACAGGCTTCGGAAGGAGCGGCGACGTACGCATCAGCGCGAATGGGTCCGCAACTGCCGCAAAGCCGCTTTCGCCTCAAATTCCACTGCATCCAGCGCTTCAGATTCCCTTGCCAAAGAGCACATCTCGCCTGGAAAACCACCGCCGAGAACAGAACCAGCGATGTAAAGGGCGCCGGCGAACCAACGCCACGGACGACGATCGTGTCACGGAGGCCAAGCACAAGCGTGAGGCCCGCCGACATCTGCATTCCGCACAGGCTGAACAGTTCCCGGGTGCGACGGCGAGGTTCCGGAGGGAGTTGTGGGGAAATCATTTGGGTTCCCTACAAACTACGATCGTGGATACGCCGGAGACGTATCCACGATCGGCGGCGTGTCAGACGAAAAGAAGCGAGAATCGGGCGAGTGAGCGTTGAGGCAGTGTATCGAGTACAGCTCCGCTGGTCTTGCTTCTTCACGAGAGTGGAAAGGCTGAACATTTTTTTATGATGCTTAAAGCTCGTAGATTGAGTTATGACAATAAAACAAAGGTCTCCAGAAAGCACTTTAGTGTTCCTCTAACTTAAGGGTAGAAAGCCCAGAAAATGAAGCAGAAGGGGTTTTGTTGTCACCTTCTGCTTCACCCTCGTTTTCCTGGCGTTTTAGCCGCTTGGGTAGCTCTGAGGTAAAGTGCCCTGGATCCCCACGTGTCGAACTACGGATCCCCAGGTGTTGAGTTAAAATCCCCAGGGAGGTGCCTGCTGTCTGACAGAGACTTCTTGTGGAGATTTTGATTGCATGTCAAAAGATCCTCAGGTCTTAGTCCTCCACTGGGGCATGCCAGATGCCCCTCATTAGCACATATAACCTCCAAATTTAGATTTGAATTTTTCTTTGTGTTTTACTCTTAAGTAGACCCAACATTCTCTGTATGTAATAATGGTGGTTGTTTTTTCTCTTTTTTTTTTTCATTCTGAGACTATGCCAGATAAACCTTTGTAGTACGGGAGAGTTTTCTGAATGGTCATTTTACAGGGCACGGACGAGACAGTGAGGGTCGTTTCAATGGACAAAGACTTCCACGTCGACTGCTATGTTTGTGAGGCAAGTTCTTTCAATATCTTGTGTCGGTGGTGAACACGCACTTATCAGTGATGGAAGTGCTGCGCCGTTTGCACCAAATTGCTCCATGAACAAAAGTCTGCTTCATCTTGCTCCAAAATGTCATTTTCGCTAAGAATTGCGCCAAAACTGCTCCAAAAGAAGCTGCAACAAAGCAAAAAAGTTTTTTAATTTTTTTTATTATTGGTTGGTTCTGATTTCGAGAGAAGTAGGAGGAAAGGAAAATGGTACAAATATACATTTCACAGCATCTCAACTCACCTACTCACTGTATAGTTTGTTTCATCTTACAACTTGTCGGAGCAGTCGAAGGCTCTAACACATACAACCATGAACACACATACTAAAAGCGCAAGTCACGGGACATTCGCTGTACTTGATTGATTTAGTCGATGAAAGAACATCCACAGGAAGATGGACGAATGCCTTGATGTCGCGCTTTGACGCTGTTTGGTTGGTCCCATTGGCTAGTAGCGTCGGCTGAGCTTTGAATTCAGATGAGATGAGACAAGGTTTAGAGATTGTTCGCCAACCGCACTGGCGGGTTAATCGCCGACATCGTCTAAATTTTCAGACGATGTCGTCGATGTCAGGAGCTAAACGTCGTGAGAAAACATTGCAAAATAGTAGGATGGCGGCTACTCCGATTAGACAGAACCAGGGCCTTGTACTCCTGATGAGATCACTCGGTTATCATGCCTGCCGCACGCCTCCTTGCCGCGTTTTTCCTCTCGCCAGCGCATGCGCGTTGAGCTTCACCACTTTACTCCGAAGTACTAGGAGCAGTGGCTAGCACGGGTGTGTGCCTGGGTTAATGCAATAGACTCAGAACTTATGCTGAGAACTGTTCCAGGTCTACCTTTTTTGGTCTTGATTTTAGGTTGATCTCCAATTTTAACAAGCTGCTACGAGAAGAGAAAAACAAATAGAACGCGAGTCTACATTTGTATTTAGACATGAGGAAGATACATAGAAGGGGGGACGGACAACGAAGACATTTGTATGAATGCGATAGTCCAGGTAGCTCCCACGCAGCCGTCGATCGAAAAAGCAGCGACCTTTGACTTCACTCTCGTTCCAACGCCGCTAAAGAGTCTTTTTTTAATATTTTCATAATGTTTGTGGGTGGTTGTTTTTGCAGTTCATAATATTAGAGTTTTGACTTTGGTAGGTTCTTAAAATGTGTGTGTGTGTGTGTGGGGGGGGGGGGGGGTCGCATTTTTATTGATGGACATACTTTAGCAAATGTGCTGGTTTTTGCAGTAATTTTACAGAAATTATATTTACAGACTAAATCATCTTCCAGGTGTAAAAATTAGAGGGGAGAGAGGCTTCATTTTTCAATCATTGTTAATGCAAAAGCATTAACTGCCGGAGCACAGCCAGCGTTGTCTGTGACCGCGAAAAACGGCAGTTAAATTCCGGCTGAGCAAAACTGCACCTAAATTCCAGCTGAGTGAAACAAGCGATAAATTCCCATTGGCTGCGACGCATCATAGTTCCAAGGCACGCCACCCCACAGACAAGCCCTCACTCTCCCTCTCTCAGTGCCCTACTGTTTCATGTGTTTTTTTTTAGTATTCATTGGAAATGGAATCTACTCTAAGCAGAACCTTATTTCTAAAAATAAGTCTCTGTTTTCCTTTCATGCCCTATATATTTTTATTCCAAAGGGTAATTGTAACAGTGTCCAGCATCAAAGAGAAACCCTTAATCATGATCATAGATGAACTTATTTAGCAATGTAATAATCACTTTTTCATTTTCGAGTGATATGCTAACACAGGGGTTCTCAAACTTCTGAAGCCTCACAAACTGCTGCGGAACCCCTACCACCCCCCCTCCCTCCCTTCCTCCCTCCCTCCCTCCATCCATATTTGCCGACCGAAAAGCAACACATGCACAATCAAAGGCAATTTTGCTTGTGTTGCTTTCCATATATCCGCACCATATCAATCGCAATGTCAGGACAAAGTGAAATGAAGGTGCTTTCGTGCAGCCTGCAGTTTAGGGGGCAGTGGGGGGGTTGCAATTTGGGTGTTCGCAAAACCCACAAGATCAGCTCGCGGAACCCATGAGACCAGCTTGCGGAACCCCTGTGTTCCACGGAACCCAGTCTGAGAACCCCTGTGCTAACAGATGCTGGCATCTACTCCAAAAAACATCAGTGCCTGCTCCAAATCAGTATTTTCCTGCTACACAACCTGCTACAAAAAGGTCCAATGCCGCCTTCATCACTGACTTATGCACATAGTTACCTTCTCTGCCTTTAAAGCAAACTTGTACAAAAAATAAGCATTCATGTGAACTTATTGAGTACCAGGTAAAATAGTAACTGGGTAAAGTGCTAAATATATATATAAAAAAAAAAAGACTTGTCATTTTTAAGTCACGATTTGTTCTCCTATTCAGTCAACTAACCACCAAAAGAAAACAACTTCATCTGACCCTCCTGCATCAATAAGGGCAAAAAGGAAAACAGAAACTCCAGTTCACTGTCCATTTTTAACGTCTTTTGTGGCAGTCTTCCCTTTCTATGGTGGACATGTCTTCCCTCCCTGACTTGTAGACAACCTGTGCATTCACCCACATGCCCTTTTGCTTCGGATTCGAGGTTGATAGACAAATGCTTTATCCTGTGCCTAGCCTGAAGATATTTTCTCAATGTCGCACCCTGCTAGGAAACATGTCCGTTTCCTAGTGGTATGAATGAAAATAAAGTGTGTGGTTATGCTCCTAAAGTTCTTTTTGCAGCTCCGAAATTGACTTTTGACTGCTCGAAAAGGACTCTGGCCATTCACATCACTGCAATTTTGTAGGTCGACCTTTAAGGACGACCTACGTAAGCATGGCCTCGGAATTCAAAATTTAGAAGAAAAAAAAAAGCTTTTTTTTCCTTTAAAAATGATATCTTTATGTTTATTAACTTCCAAAGAATGGTTTCAGGACTTATCTCACAATAAATTATTTTTGGCATGCCGGCAGCCCTGAAAGGAGCAAGATTTTTTTCTTTTTTTTTTAATTAAGGGCTGTTTATATTTGCTTTACATAGCCAGAACTTCTCTCCCTCATTGGAAGTGCCATTTAGCCTGTAGAAGCTGTCCAGGTTTAAAAGTATTAATGGCCAGGAGAACCCCATACTATATCCAAACAGCCAAAATTTGGTATGAGCAATCTTATTGGCTGTGCTCCACCGCTGATAAAAAGGCCGTTGCAGCGGATGCGCGGTGGCTGTAGAATTTAAAAACAAATGAGGCTATGGTGCGATAGGAATAATGCAATATGTTTTTGGTGTCTGAATTACTGGGTTTAAAGGGTTCATCGAGGGAAGTTTGGAGAAAGTCGAGGATTACTATGTTATTAATTGCCAAACAGAAAGGCATAATTTTGAATTCTTTTATATTTAGAACACTTCTAGGCACAATGCGGAAAACACTTACAATACTGGAGTGCTAGTTTTTTTTGTTAAAAGTGAACAAAGCATAAAATACCGTGTACAAAAAGTTCCAGCTTAAAAACATAATTCTGAGATGTATTCCAAAAGCACCGAAAAATGCCTAAGTATAAAAGAGTTGCACAAGAGGCCAAGTTTATTATTTTATTTACCTTAAAAATAAACCGAAATAAAATCAATTCAACTAAATTTAACTAAGTGAACTAGGCCAGTTGGCATGCTTTATAGTTAAAAAAAATGTTATGCTGTAGAAAAGTGTTTTCTTTATTTCTGTGGTCCTCAACGTTGCATCTAGGTGCAATTGGGATAATCATTGTTCCACCTCCTCTCAGGCGCAATTTTATTTTACGAATACAAGAAAAGGTCTTTTGCAAAAGTAAGGTCCATTTTGTTATGTGGACATGTTTTGCTACCTCATATAAATGTTTAATTGAAGACAAAAAATTGGCACGACACCAAAAAAGTGTGAAGTGGCCGTGTTCTGTTCTTAGTGATTACTTGCATAGTTGCCCATAAAAGTACATATTCATGAATTTCCTTGGGCCTTTGAATCGGTGGACTCAAAGCTACAGGTGCCCATGCACCCGTACCTCTTAAGGCCCGTCTAAACAAGATACTTCAAAAATCGTGAGGCAACACGACTCCGACATAACTCGTGCGGCGGTCCACTTCCGTCCATTCTTTTGTCGGGTGGAAAGTTCCCTCTGTCAAATTTCGCCCGTGTCCTCCACGGGGGCCTTGAGCATGCCTATCACGTGGGTCCGGACAGTTACTCACAACCTCTGTTGGCTGTCGGTCAATCGCTCAAGTACTCCGCTGCTCTTCAGGTCCAGAAAACGGGAAAGGAAAGGGCTTTGATCGAAATCTTAACCAAATAGATCTGAGCTGCTCCGGTGTCACGTGATAACAGAGATAGAGTGACGCTGGACGCGGGTAGGTTTTCAAACGCAAAGGAACAAAACCCTTACTCTGGAGGAGGGATGTGCAGTATTTCAAATACTTTGTGTATTTTGCATTTGTATTTAATTACAAATTAGGTAATGTATTTGACGTGTGTATTTAAATACTAAAACGTGGGTATTTCAAATACAATTGTAGTTAAATACAATTTAGTGGGCGAAAATACATCCCTCAGATTTATTGTCACTGTCCAGAGCAGGAAGAAAACTACGTTCTGCATCGAATGCAGTGTCTCTCAATCAAGCACAAACATTTAGTGACTTTGTGATTACGGTGCTAGTCCAGGGCAAGAATAGTGACGAAATCGACGTTCACAGGCAGACTGGCTAAATAAGTGCCTGTAACAACTTGTGATGCTTTCCAGCCTGATTTCCATCCATATTTTTGCCGGGAACGTTCTAAATGCGCGGGTCATCCAGATTTTCGTAACTGGTGCGAGTTGCAACAATAAAAAATACTCTAGCTAGTGCTGCGCGTCTTGGTCATCTCGGTTCTTTGTTGGTCTATACCAAAATGTAATCGACAAAAAAAGCTGCTTGAAGCTCTGTACTTTTTCACCTATTACGTCCAAGCTGATTACATTTTTTTTGTGATTATATTTCTATTATGTTACTAGAGCCTCGCTCACTAACTCCCGAGTGTGCGATGCAAAATTAAAATGAGATACCCAGAAACCCGCTGCAGGTGCCCTGAAGTCGCTGACGCAAATTTTGAGGAATGTATTTGGAAAAGTATTTGGAGGAGACCAAATACATTTGGTTGTATTTGTATCTTGTACTTAAATGCTTTTTTGGAAATGTAATCAGATTTGTAATTAAATACATTTTTGACGAAGTATTTTGTATTTGTATTTCGATACATATTTGCATGTATTTTGCCCATCCCTGCTCTGGAGTAAGGTTGATTAAATTTTGGAACATGTCCAAGGATACGAGGGCTCGGCATAACAGATGTACAGCATTGCCAGGTGGCGTGTGGCATCGAGTCTGACGAGAACTGAGGTCACCGAAAAGTGGTGGAAGCGAGGAGGAAAATCGTGATGTTGGCTCAATGGTGTTCAAACAAAGATCAGACTGCTGGATGCTTTAGCTTCCACGCCACGATTTTTGACGGAGTCGTATCGCCTCACGATTTCTGAAGTGTCCTGTGTGAACAGGCCTTTACGTGCATATCAAAGCTGTCACACTTTTCACTCTTAAAGTGCTATAGAAAATTGTCGCCAAGTAGTATGCTTTGAATGGTGCAATGTTTTGGTGAGCTGCAATGTCAGTTGGAGACATGTTTTACTGGTTCCAGTGACACACCAAAAGTTTGAAATAGAGGGGGTAAAAAATACAAACACGAAAACCTGAATGTAAGTGTGCAAACAAGCTGGCGAAAAACCTGTTTTTGTCTATAGCGTGTGGAACCAAGCAGCTTAGTTGGAATTTTCTAGATTATAGCACTATATGCCAGTTGTGTCAGCACCCTCAAAAGGAACTTATTTTTCTTCTAAAAGATCTCTAGGAAAATTCATTCCTTCTCAGTCTCTACGAGCCATACTTTCACGTGTCATCAAATTGATTGTATCCTTTAAATGCACCTTGTAAAGTTACAACTCACTTAATCGTATCTCCAATTTCGTGGCGCAATTTGACGGAGCCTTATTGCAGAGAAGGCAACGGAGCTTTCGGTTGCACGTCAAAAGATCCCCAGGTGGTCGAAATTAATCCTCGGTCCTCCGCTGGGGAATGCCAGATGCCCATCAATGGGTTGGCACGTAAAACCCCCAAATTTGACTTTGACCAATTTCGTGGCATTCTGAAACCCTGAGCTTTTGCAAGCATGCCACCCAGTGCCACTCTCTGAGCGCTAAGGAGCTTGATGCATTGTGAGCTCCTGGTATTGCCCAATCGTCACAAATGAGCCTGTGTCAGCTTGAGAGTGGTTTGGTGAGGGCTCTGTACCCTGAAGTAGCAAAGAGAATGGTGCTATTTAAAACTTGTCGCCATGTCCGCAAACAATAATTAGCAACAATGGTTGACATTGATTTTGTTTTATTGGTGGTGGAAACAATGGTGGTAGAATTTGAAGAGCCTTACATCCAGTTGGCAGTGGGCCAAGTATGCATGGTTTCTGCTCCATTCTGAGTACAATATGTTAAATTTTCCCACAGGACTGCAGCATGCAGTTGACAGATGAGCCAGACAAGCGCTGCTATCCCCTGGAAGGGCACCTGCTGTGTCATGACTGCCACGTGCGTCGCATGACCATGAGCCACTCCCCTTCTGCCTTGGGCCTCAGCCATTCAATACAGGTTGGTATTCCATCGGTATGCCTATTTTTGTGTGCTGTGGCTGCAGTTGCACACTTGCAGAACTTGCCTACAAAATCTTCCAAGTTCCAGAAGGGAAGTTGTCATAACTTTTGGGCTGGGATAAATGGTTTTAGATTGGGCTTTTACTAATCGTATATTGTTTAGTGGGCCAAACGAAAACTACCGTAAGATACCGAGCAAGCGCCTCCCCAAAATTATAGAGGGGCCCTTATTCGGGTCAGGACCAAAATTCAAGATGGCCGCCACAAGTGGCGGCCAGTAAAACAAAAAAAGAGCATTATAGCCTGCATTGCTCAAAATGTTTATTGAGGGACACTTCAATCAATATTCAATCCGGAAAATGGCAGTTTTGGCATTCACCTCAGTCGCTATCAAAGCCACAAACTGGTTCCTCAGAATCGGATCTAAAAATGAGGTCTAGGCCCTCGGTCCGCAGCTCGTTGAGGTTCTCGGGGACAACAGCACCGATGTCAGAAAGCCGTTCATGAAGATCGCCCTCCTTGCTGCACGTCCAGAGTTCCTTTCGCGCTCTAAGAACTTGTACAAGCTGTCGTCAACTTTGCTGAAGACGGGGCACCGTTGCTCAATTTGCGTCATACCTTTGACTTCCAGAAGTTATGTTGCAGCCAAACTTTGTACTTGGTGTGCCTCTCGCGGTACCGTCTACGGTCCAACTTGAAATGGCGAGAGGTCAGGTGGATGCTTTTGCCATTCTTCCGATGCCAGTCCACAACTTCGAGTTTCGTTTGCACCATATACTGATGCTTGGCGAACAAAGACAACCGTTCCCAACGAGGGCACTAAGGAAATGGCGGCGATGGCTGGTGGTGCATTCTCATAGCAACCTCTTGGATTGAATTGGATTCAATATTGGCTTTGTACACTGCAACAACCACAAAGCCCAAAACAAAGCTAAGAAAAAAAATGCCTTGGGGAGGGGCGGCAGCGGGAAGGAGGGTGGGGTGGGGCGCTTGCTTGGTTTTGCACAGAACTGGGAAATTCCCGGAAGATGTAGGGGGGCACTTACTGAAGTGAGGGCGCATGCTCGGTATTTTACGGTAGTACACAAGGGTAGAAAGCCAAACGCCAGCTTTTCGGCACAATTATTTGAAAATATAGTGAACTATGTCTTACCTCCTTTCCTTGGAAAGCTCTTCGCCTCTTCACTGTGATGCGTCCGTGGTGCCCAAGCACAATAGCCGAACCGAGCTCACGCATTGAACACAAGCACTGCGCCACTTAAACATATGCGCTCATCAACAATCAATCTGTCGACGAATATTTGGATTCAAGTTCATGGCCAGTGAGTGCCGTGATGGCACTTACCACTTGCGAATGACAAGTTCCATAGTGTGCTTAAAAAGCACGGTGGAAGCTTGAAGTCGTCGCATTCCGATGAAATTCGAGACTCCAGCAAAACGGATGGCACCTTGCGGGAAAACACTGAACTGGCCAGACCTGGTCCTTTGGCGATTTCTGCTTGTCCCTTGTGGCTTCCCTGATTGCATGTTGTCGATGGCTGGCGTGGTAGCCGCCGAAGTAAAGTGAAGCAAGTTGCGTTGTTTGTGTCCAAACCAATGAAAACGGCAGCAATGACCGCGCCACAGGGAAAAGCATGGCTCATAATGGCTTGAGGAATTATGTGCACCTTGCATTGCTTCTCATGTCGTGTAGGGCAAACAGTTGTCCCGGTGACTCTGTCGTTATTGTCGTATCAGCGAATTGCCTAGGTCCCACGGAACAACCTACGCAACCGTGTGAACCAGATATTATGTGTTTATCAACATTCGTCAGTACAGTAGGAGAGAGGCAGTTTTTTTCACTGCTTCCCCGGAAGATCAAGCCTCTGGAAGCTCCTTTACACCAACACACGAATGCACATTTGGAACATAGTGAATAAAAATCGGGGCAATCCATTTTGAGGCCAATGCTTGGCCTGTACCCCAGCGTTGAGCTGGTATATGGCACGGCACCACCTGGTTTCGACTGTCGTATTTGCTCCGAAAGCGGTGACCCCTATAGGTCGCCGGAGTTGCGAATACTATGTCACGACCACGTGATTTCTCATTTTGCCTTTGAGTTGCGAGGGAAAGCTAAGGAGGAAGAAGTTGAAAAATCACTTCATGGAAGTGTCTTCGACAGTCTTTAGGGACAACATAATAACTAAGCACGATACTATCCATCATGCATCGGAAGTCCATGAACCAACTATTGCTGCCATGGGTATTGTAAGTTCCCCACAAACAGACGTGTCATTCTTTCTCAATCTAAAACCAGTTCGCCCGAAGCTGTTTTGCTCTTGTTCGAGAACTTCCATGGGGACGAAAATGCTAACTATATAGTATTTGTGCTTCTAAAGTGCATTGAAGTTGGCTATTGGATCTCGTCTCTGCACCCTTTGCATGAGGGAGCAAGCATTGTGCTTGTCCAAAAGTACACCAGTAGTGGTGACAGACTAACAAAAACTGAGAGCTACACACTAGAAAATTTCAACGTAGAATGCTCTGAAAGGGATACTGCAACGAAATTTCGGTGATTATTGCTTGGTCTATTCGTGTTCAAGGGAGCAGTATCACATCAGACGCACCAATTTTGTTGAAAAAGACACGAAAGTGAATTTTAAAACAAATTCGATTAATAAAGAGCGCCTGGTGGATGTCACTAACGCCTCGTTTGTACTGCCCGTCTAGCAACCCTGACGGGTAGTGGTAACTGTCTTGCCTCCGGCCACCATGGGAGAAGAGGGGAAGGAGGAACTCCCCTCCCCCTGAGACTCTCTTTTGTGTGTTTCATACGGTGCTATTGTTCTCTACAAGATTATAGAACATTAACCAGTCACTCAAAATTCATACAAAAGCAGCTTTGGGGTTAGCTGCGGTGGCCTGATTGCTGGCGTGCTTCGGCCGCTTTGGTGGCTGGAATGGCTAGGACATCCTCTCGACTTCAGCCTCGCCGTAGCTTCGCTCGTTCCAAGACAATCTATGTCACAATTGCAGCGGATGCCACATGCTCTCCGCTGGCTGCTTTCCGAGCACTTGCCAGAGTGGGCTGTTTATAATGAAAAATTCAGCCATCAGGCTCAAAATACAAATGTGCGATTGTCATTTACGAATATTGTGGATCATATTCAGCCTACTTCTGAACACGATGGGTATATTTCAAATTTGGTTGAAGTCCCTTTAAAGGGGTTAGGGCATGAAAATTAAACAGGGAGAGAATTCTTGAAATTGAAGGCCCATAGGCTACTTAGTATATAATCCAAATTTCACAATTTTTAGAGCTCCAGTAATTGCAATAATCAATTTACGAATGTTGATCATTTTCATCTGGTGACCAGGCAACACTGCTTTAAGGCCTGTTCAAACAGGACACTTTAGAAATTGTGAGGCGACAAAACTCTGACACAAGTCATGCGGCGGTCTGCTTCCGTCCTTCTTTGCTGGGAGGAAAGTTCCCTCTGTCAAAGTCTTCAGAAATCATGAGGCGACACAACTCTCACATTAGCCATGCGGCAGTCTGCTTCTGCCCCTTTTTGCCAGGAGGAAAGTTCCCTCTGGCAAAGTTCTCAAAAATTGTGAGGCGACACAACTCTGACATTAGACATGCGGCGGTCTGCTTCCCTCCTTTTTTGCTGGGAGGAAAGTTCCTTCTGTCAAAGTCTTCAGAAATCGTGAGGCAACACAACTCCGACATTAGTCATGCGGCAGTCTGTTTCTGTCCCTTTTTGCCGGGAGGAAAGTTCCCTCTGTCAAAGTCTTCAGAAATCATGAGGCGACACAACTCTGACATTAGTCATGCGGCGGTCTGCTTCTGTCCCTTTTTGCTTCGAGGAAAGTTCCCTCTGTCAAAGTCTTCAGAAATAGTGAAGCGACACAACTCTGACATTAGTCATGCGGCGGTCTGCTTCTGTCCCTTTTTGCCGGGGGAAAGTTTCCTCTGTCAAAGTCTTCAGAAATCGTGAGGCGACACAATTACATTAGTCATGCGGCGGTCTGCTTCCGCCCTTTTTTGCCGGGAGGAAAGTTCCCTCTGTCAAAGTCTTCAGAAATCATGAGGCGACACAACTCTGACATTAGTCATGCGGCGGTCTGCTTCTGTCCCTTTTTGCTGGGAGGAAAGTTCCCTCTGTCAAAGTCTTCAGAAATCATGAGGCGACACAACTCTGACATTAGTCATGCGGCGGTCTGCTTCTGTCCCTTTTTGCTTCGAGGAAAGTTCCCTCTGTCAAAGTCTTCAGAAATAGTGAAGCGACACAACTCTGACATTAGTCATGCGGCGGTCTGCTTCTGTCCCTTTTTGCCGGGAGGAAAGTTTCCTCTGTCAAAGTCTTCAGAAATCGTGAAGCGACACAACTCTGACATTAGTCATGCGGCGGTCTGCTTCTGTCCCTTTTTGCCGGGAGGGAAGTTCCCTCTGTCAAAGTCTTCAGAAATCGTGAAGCGACACAACTCTGACATTAGTCATGCGGCGGTCTGCTTCTGTCCCTTTTTGCTGGGAGGGAAGTTCCCTCTGTCAAAGTCTTCAGAAATCGTGAAGCGACACAACTCTGACATTAGTCATGCGGCGGTCTGCTTCTGTCCCTTTTTGCTGGGAGGGAAGTTCCCTCTGTCAAAGTCTTCAGAAATAGTGAAGCGACACAACTCTGACATTAGTCATGCGGCGGTCTGCTTCTGTCCCTTTTTGCCGGGGGAAAGTTTCCTCTGTCAAAGTCTTCAGAAATCGTGAGGCGACACAATTACATTAGTCATGCGGCGGTCTGCTTCCGCCCTTTTTTGCCGGGAGGAAAGTTCCCTCTGTCAAAGTCTTCAGAAATCATGAGGCGACACAACTCTGACATTAGTCATGCGGCGGTCTGCTTCTGTCCCTTTTTGCTGGGAGGAAAGTTCCCTCTGTCAAAGTCTTCAGAAATCGTGAAGCGACACAACTCTGACATTAGTCATGCGGCGGTCTGCTTCTGTCCCTTTTTGCTGGGAGGGAAGTTCCCTCTGTCAAAGTCTTCAGAAATCGTGAAGCGACACAACTCTGACATTAGTCATGCGGCGGTCTGCTTCTGTCCCTTTTTGCTGAGAGGGAAGTTCCCTCTGTCAAAGTCTGCAGAAATCGTGAAGCGACACAACTCTGACATTAGTCATGCGGCAGTCTGTTTCTGTCCCTTTTTGCCGGGAGGAAAGTTCCCTCTGTCAAAGTCTTCAAAAATCGTGAAGCAACACAACTCTGACATTAGTCATGCGGCAGTCTGTTTCTGTCCCTTTTTGCTGGGAGGGAAGTTCCCTCTGTCAAAGTCTTCAGAAATCGTGAAGCGACACAACTCTGACATTAGTCATGCGGCGGTCTGCTTCTGTCCCTTTTTGCTGGGAGGAAAGTTCCCTCTGTCAAAGTCTTCAAAAATCGTGAAGCGACACAACTCTGACATTAGTCATGCGGCGGTCTGCTTCTGTCCCTTTTTGCTGGGAGGGAAGTTCCCTCTGTCAAAGTCTTCAGAAATCGTGAAGCGACACAACTCTGACATTAGTCATGCGGCGGTCTGCTTCTGTCCCTTTTTGCTGAGAGGGAAGTTCCCTCTGTCAAAGTCTTCAGAAATCGTGAAGCGACACAACTCTGACATTAGTCATGCGGCGGTCTGCTTCTGTCCCTTTTTGCTGGGAGGAAAGTTCCCTCTGTCAAAGTCTTCAGAAATCGTGAAGCGACACAACTCTGACATTAGTCATGCGGCGGTCTGCTTCTGTCCCTTTTTGCTGGGAGGGAAGTTCCCTCTGTCAAAGTCTTCAGAAATCGTGAAGGGACACAACTCTGACATTAGTCATGCGGCAGTCTGTTTCTGTCCCTTTTTGCTGGGAGGGAAGTTCCCTCTGTCAAAGTCTTCAGAAATCGTGAAGCGACACAACTCTGACATTAGTCATGCGGCGGTCTGCTTCTGTCCCTTTTTGCTGGGAGGGAAGTTCCCTCTGTCAAAGCCTTCAGAAATCGTGAAGCGACACAACTCTGACATTAGTCATGCGGCGGTCTGCTTCTGTCCCTTTTTGCTGGGAGGAAAGTTCCCTCTGTCAAAGTCTTCAGAAATCGTGAAGCGACACAACTCTGACATTAGTCATGCGGCAGTCTGTTTCTGTCCCTTTTTGCCGGGAGGAAAGTTCCCTCTGTCAAAGTCTTCAAAAATCGTGAAGCGACACAACTCTGACATTAGTCATGCGGCGGTCTGCTTCTGTCCCTTTTTGCTGGGAGGGAAGTTCCCTCTGTCAAAGTCTTCAGAAATCGTGAAGCGACACAACTCTGACATTAGTCATGCGGCGGTCTGCTTCTGTCCCTTTTTGCTGGGAGGAAAGTTCCCTCTGTCAAAGTCTTCAAAAATCGTGAAGCGACACAACTCTGACATTAGTCATGCGGCGGTCTGCTTCTGTCCCTTTTTGCTGGGAGGGAAGTTCCCTCTGTCAAAGTCTTCAGAAATGGTGAAGCGACACAACTCTGACATTAGTCATGCGGCGGTCTGCTTCTGTCCCTTTTTGCTGAGAGGGAAGTTCCCTCTGTCAAAGTCTTCAGAAATCGTGAAGCGACACAACTCTGACATTAGTCATGCGGCGGTCTGCTTCTGTCCCTTTTTGCTGGGAGGAAAGTTCCCTCTGTCAAAGTCTTCAGAAATCGTGAAGCGACACAACTCTGACATTAGTCATGCGGCGGTCTGCTTCTGTCCCTTTTTGCTGGGAGGGAAGTTCCCTCTGTCAAAGTCTTCAGAAATCGTGAAGGGACACAACTCTGACATTAGTCATGCGGCAGTCTGTTTCTGTCCCTTTTTGCCGGGAGGGAAGTTCCCTCTGTCAAAGTCTTCAAAAATCGTGAAGCGACACAACTCTGACATTAGTCATGCGGCGGTCTGCTTCTGTCCCTTTTTGCTGGGAGGGAAGTTCCCTCTGTCAAAGCCTTCAGAAATCGTGAAGCGACACAACTCTGACATTAGTCATGCGGCGGTCTGCTTCTGTCCCTTTTTGCTGGGAGGAAAGTTCCCTCTGTCAAAGTCTTCAGAAATCGTGAAGCGACACAACTCTGACATTAGTCATGCGGCGGTCTGCTTCTGTCCCTTTTTGCTGGGAGGAAATTTCCCTCTGTCAAAGTCTTCAGAAATCGTGAGGCGACACAACTCTGACATTAGTCATGCGGCGGTCTGCTTCTGTCCCTTTTTGCCGGCAGGAAAGTTCCCTCTGTCAAAGTCTTCAGAAATCGTGAGGCGACACAATTACATTAGTCATGCGGCAGGTCTGCTTTCGTCCTTTTTTGCCGGGAGGAAAGTTCCCTCTGACAAAGTCTTCAGAAATCGTCAGGCGACACAACTCTGACATTAGTCATGTGGCGGTCTGCTTCTGTCCCTTTTTGCCGGAAAAAAAGTTCCCTCTGTCAAAGTCTTCAGAAATCATGACGCGACACAACTCTGACATTAGTCATGCGGCGGTCTACTTCTGTCGTTTTTTGCCGGGAGGAAAGTTCCCTTTGTCAAAGTCTTCAGAAATCGTGAGGCGGCACAACATCACCTATATTTAGCAATATAGATGATGATGTCTTTCCCATGCCATAATGAATATGTCAAATGCTAGTGTCTTTACGTTTATGTTTGTTCTTCCCTGGGCTGCTATGGAAGGCAGAGGCTAGTCAAGCAGCGTGTCAGTTGCTTTTTTCTCTGCCTCCTTTCTCTGGTTCAGGGATCAATAAAGAATTTTGAATTTGAATTTGACATTAGTGCGGCGGTCTGCTTCTGTCCGTTTTTGCCGGGAGGAAGGTTCTCTCTGTCAAAGTTTGCTCGTGTCCTTCATGGGGGCATTGAGCGTGCTCATCACGTGGGTCCGGACAGCCACTCACAAGCTCTGTTGACTGTCGGCCAATCGTTCAAGGCCTCCGCTGCTCTTCAGGTCCCGTAAACGGGAAAGGGAAGGGCTGTATTGGAAATCTTAACCAATTGGATCCGAGTTACTCCGGCTGGTCTTGTCACATGATAACAGAGATAGAGCGACGCTGGACGCGGGTAGGTTGAGTAAATTTTTGAAACACGGTCAAGGATACCACGGCCCTGCAGGACAGATGGGCAGCATTGGCAAGTGGCGTGTGACGTCAAGTCTGACAAGCATCGAGGTCAATAAAAAGCGAAGGAAGTGAGGAGGAAAGTCTTAATGTTTGCTTAATGGTGTTCAAACAGACATCGACCTGCCGTACTTCAGCCGCTTCCAAATTCCAACACTTTTGAGGGAGTTGTGTCGCCTCACGATTTCTAAAGCCTCCTATTTGGACAGCTGCTTAGTCACACCACAAGATATATCATATTTAGTTCAGCGCTCTTCCATTCTCGCCCATGCTCGCCCAAGCTCGCCTCGCCATGTTACGATCGCACACTCTCCGCTGCTCGGAGCAAGCAGCGAGAGTAAGAGCGTACTCCATAGTATGCTCTTGCTCTCGTCCACTTGCCCTTTCATCTTCCACCCTGCATGCTTGTGCGTGATCGTCACCGGCAACGGCGAGTTTGTCCGTAAAGATCTCGTCGTTGCTGGAGCTGGTTGCGGGCCAGTCGAAGTCAAAATGACCAGCTTCCAACATCTTTTGTGATCACTCTCATCGCTTCTGCGATCAGTGTCGAAGGCTCCGACAAAGCGAGTGATGCTGTAGACGTCACCGACTCGAAACCGCGTGCTCAAAACGGGGAAGGTAATGTGGAAGCTGAAGCGGGTGGCTCCAAGGGTCCCACATATAAATCAATTTATCTACGAAACTATCCCGCTATTTTCAAAATAAATTTAGCAGGATTATAGGAACGTACAACGGGTCTTAGCAGTATAGATATCACATATTTTATTTTTGGCATGCCTAACTCCTTTAACCACAGGCCACAGTGGATACATCGGTGTTCCTCATTTGGAACCATGATGGGCGCTTGCTTCATCCTGTTCTTTTCACAGCCATTGACCCGTTGACATCATAAATGACTCATTTTATGACGTCCTTTTTCTATTCCAGGGTGCACAAGCACAGATAGTGTGGAATGGAGCCCAGCTACATTAACTTCAATAGCTTCACTCTCAGGTCAGTTTAACTTCATGGTTTCATACTTGGCAGTGATATGTTGCTAAGTGGCCCTTCTGGAGAGTGCAGTGCCAACTTTCTTTGGTTACTGAAGGATGAACAGGTTTAAGAATAAAGTGGACTAAAATCTCCTAGGAGTAGATGGATGTGTTTCTTTTGTGTTGTCACCTTAAGATGCAACCAGTTTGGTGTGGATGTAGCATCTTTAATTATATTAGCTTTCGTCAGTATTACTGGAGTTATCATTGAACTTCACAGCTTGAGAGCGTGAAGTGAGAACATTGAACTTGGTTAGCTGAACCCATGAAAAGAAGCACCCAGCTTCTGTTAAAATAAGGTGATAACCTTTTGAAACAGGCATTTTTACTTTTCATATGTAACCCCCTAAGTGCTAAGTGCCCCCCCCTTTTTTTTTCGAAAAGTAATTTTAAAGTACCATATGGTTTTATTTGGAAGTTTTATTCCTCTAGTGATACAGATAAAATTTCAAAAGTTTAAGACGCAAAAATCAGCAATAGCGAAAAAAAAAAAAAAAAATGTGCCAACTAAAACGAGTGTTGCCATCTATGATCAGCGCCGCAAACTACTCGGACGAGCCTAGCTCGTCTGTGGAAATGAGGGCTACCGAAAAAAAACACTGGACGAGCAGAGCTCGTCCATGGCCTTTAAAGGGTTAATATCTGAGCATGCAAGAAATGGCCTAGCACTATCTCAAACCTAGACATAAAAATGAGTGTTAATAGTATTTGAAATAAATATGATGTGCAGTGATATGATGTGCAGTGAATACAGGGCACCAATTAGGTGCTTGTTTCATGCCCGAGTCTGAAAAGAAACATAACTTGCACTGTTTGTTTCACACTGCATGTAAAAACCGCTTCAGGGTGGTTTCAAGGTTGAGCTTCTTACAACATGACTAACAACTTTACAGCACTCTCCAGATGTGATGTAGCAAATGTGGGGGCCACAACGTTTTGTATTAATTGCAACAGCCCTGTTAGTCCCCAAAACGATTACTTAATCATCATAGCCTTCCTATTCACTATTTCGCACCAATAAAGTGGTTTAAATTTATGCGACTCAGGTTTCCCATGTACTTCAAGGAATTAAGGGGCACTGAAGTGGATTCTGAGATTCTCTGTTTAGTGTTATAACTCAGTCTACGGACTCTTATACCCAAATCACGCAACAGTGTAAAAGTACCTTTAGCATAGGTACCGGTAGTAAAGGTAGCTGGAGATTGTAATCACACAGCGCATTAAAGTTCTTTTTGCTAAGGGTGTTCCTGTGTTAAACGAAGCTCGCCGAGCTTTCTTTACAGCTACAGGGAGTAGCCTCGGACCCACAAACTCAAAATAAACATCACAGATATATAAATATGTCTTGTTTGATGCATTATAACAAATTGAATATATATAAGCAGCAAATTATGAAATAGTTGTGGACACAAATGCGATGGAATAATACATTAACGAGGAACGCATACTCCAGCTAGCAGGTAGCAGCGACGGCACGTGGAAAACAATGTCTGCTACGAACCCGAACGCGATGGGCCACTGCGAGCTCTTTTTTCAAGGTTGTAGACGAGTCGTCCGACTCTCTCGCCCAGGACCCTTTATCCTCGTCGTCGTCCATCCCTTTCGGTGGCGTGACTGGCGGAACCGTGTAAGACTCAGATGTGGTTTGTTTCTGCCGGGCACTATTTAGCTACTTCAGTGAGAACTTTCCGGAAAAATGGAGCTGCTAAACAGAAAGGGTCGCCCACCTTGCAATGGAAACTGGTAAATGCAGATGATTTAGGGCCAGTGTGGCCAGACGGGTCGAACGTTTTAAAGCGAGACTCGTATAGATGCGCCCTTAGACCATAGAGTTATTATAATGTACGCTAGAGGTTCAACTGGCGCTAGTGTGCTGCTGCAAATTGAAGCAGACAGCAACCAGTCCGAAATCGACTTCCGGTAATGCATTGCTATGGGGAAAAGCGGGTGCATTTTCTCTCTGCGCTCGATTATAAGAGCAAATATCACGAATAATTCGTACGTACTAGGTAGCTTGGAACTTTTCTCAGTCACGCAGACGAAATAATTGGTCAGTTACAGCGTTTTCATTTGAAATTCGTGGCACGAAAAACGATGCTAAAACCGCTTCGTACGTGTATTTATGTGCACTGTCGGACACTGTTAGCGCGAACACGGCGTCGGCACTTTTCAACATGAGGGACATACGTGCCAAACGAGCGAAGGACATGTGGGAAACCAAGAGAGACGGCAAGAACTACACAGTAACACTGGATAAGTAACTCTTTGTGCATGCAGACGATCAAATAAATTGAAAGTCACGTACTATAGTCAGATTTGTAATAAATAAGTACTGCTTTCTTCTTTCTGCTCATGAATATGTGCAAAGATGCATGTTCTGGGTTCAAATCATCACCCGCAGGCTCCAGATCTTTGCGAATGGGGAGAAGCCAGAGAACAGGTGCCCGATTAAAACTGCCCGACATAGGAAATAATAAAAAGACACACCTCTCGTAGCCCACATATTTTATTTTTTTAGCAGACTGTAAAGATGCACGACGGAGTCTTCATATAGTGACAGAAAGGACATATTAGCAATATATAAGCGCCACCAAAATGCTATTGAACCTTAAACGCATTCTACATTCCTTTCGATTGTTATTTTGCTTAGAATCGTCGCTTGTTTTTACACACCGGCTGTTGAACAGAGGTTTGAGCCTGAAATAGAGCGAAGTTTAACGTCGTTCAGTGGTAAAGAAAAATGTTGTAACTCAATCAATTACACTTTCACAATATCAATAAAGGTACATACTATCCGGTACAACCGAAATAACAAAAGTTATTCGTGTTATTTTACGGCGAATAGACAAAATTCACGTGCGTATTCCCATAGGAATGCACAGGAGCACCGCAAAAGTAGACTGGTTGCTGTCTGCTTCAATTTGCCTCCCGGAAGTCGCATAGACACTAGCGCCAGTTGAACCTCTAGCGTACATTATAATAACTCTATGCCTTAGACTTGGAAAAAAAAAAATAAAAAAGAAAGTGCTGCAAAGGCAAACACAAATATTATTTAGGTTTTAAATGTGATATTTCACACACAATAATCAAAAACTGCTCGTCAAACCGATTTCGAGGAATAGTTTTTCACGTGCTCCTCTCATGGTTTAGCAGGAATGCAATCGACATCAACTCAAAATGCTCCGTTTATTTATCGTGTGATTCAGAGCGCCGTTTACTACAGGTACCTTCAGCCAGGCACGTAGCCAGGGGGGGGGGGGGGAGGTGCCATGGGGCCGACCAACCCCCCCCCCCCCCTCCCCCCCCCCCCCCCCCCCGAAATTTTCCATTTTGCTGGAACCTCCTCCCCTCCGCAGCATTCTGTTATGGGCGCCCCCCCCCCCCCCCCCCCCCCCCCTTCCCCCCCGAAACAAAATCCTGGCTACGTGCCTGCCTTTAGCTAAGGGACCTAAGCTAAAGGCACCTCTACGCTGCCGTGTGAATTGTGCATAAGCATTCTAAAAATCCTAAGATCACATTCAAGAGTGGCCGATTTTCCTATTAAAAGTCCAATCAAAGATTGTGCCGCGCCCCTCTTTCTGCGGCATGGCGCAGAGCACCAGGGGGTGCCACCAGATGGGAAGGCAGCAGGGGAGGGCGCGCGACAGCCAATTACAAGTGATGGTTTCCCAGCAAACCGATTTTTTGAAGGTGCGCATATTCGAAAATGTAGTGCACCGGGACGCCATCACCCCTGATTGGGTGTCGCGTGCCTTCCCCTGCTGCCTTCCCGTCTCGTGGCACCCCCTGGTGCTCTGCGCCATAGCGCAGAAAGAGGAGCGCGGCACAATCTTTGATTGGACTCTTAATAAAGAAATCGGCCACTCTTGAATGTAATTTCGGTTCTTTTTAGGATGCTTAGAGCCCATAGATTGAGCTTTGACAATAAATAGACGATCTCAGAATCCACTTGGGTGCCCCTTTAAATTGTCAGCAATTGCAGGCCTGCTTATGGCCAATATAAAGTGTATAAATGAATTTTCGTTTTATTTACAGGGCTGGTCCTTTAGAGGAAAGAAACAACAGAAGTTGCACAGAAGAAAAGCATCATATTCAGGGCGTTCTTCGTAGCAGTGCCAATTTCACAAGCTTGAACGGTCTTTTACGTCTTGTTACCCCCCCCCCCCCCCCTTTTTTCTTTGTTTGAGTGAATGAGGACAGGTCTGTGTGCGTGATTATACCACTTTGGACTCCAATGAATGTGTGGGTAGACAAAAGAGGGATGCACTGCACTGCATTCTTTTTTAGTGTAAGCTGTTCTTCATTGTACAACAGATTTCTATAATTGCTATGACTCTGCAAAAGGAGCCACAGCATTTAAGGTGGTGATGGCTTTGTTTTTCAAAGTGTGACCATCTTTGCTATAGTGCAAAAGGAGTGTCGACAAATGCTGTGAAGAAAGAATGCAGAAAATGCTTTTCAAACTGTTTACATCGTCACATTTTCATCTCTTGGAGTGGGAGTGTGGCGTCAGGAACCAGTTGGTTTGTGCAACTAGGAATATGCTTTGGTAACAATTTGGATATCTTCAGATATGCATGTGGATCATAAACATATCATCTAAGCATAGAGCACTAGATTGTCTACAGGTTGAGAGTGGCTCCCAGCCACCTTATTATAAAAAAGCAAAATAGATTGCTTGGAGAACTTTCTGTTGATGTCATAGATAATGGGTGGGAAATTTGCTGCAATACTCTCATGGTATTTGCCCACAATTTGTTGTTTGTAGATAGCCAGAGTGAAACTCGGGTGCTCTTTTGGTTATACTATAGAAGTTCTACACCGTATCAAGTATGCCTGAAGTTGTTTTTCAAGCAAGGGAGCAGTTATTGCCTTTGGGGGTTTTAGTATTAAAAAAGCTTCATAAGGTGTTTTTTTTTTTTTTTTTTTTTTTTGCGTTCAGTACAGCCCATTTAACTGTGTGCAGTTTTAAGCCACATTCCATTGGCATTTTTACAGCTTACTGCCATTCACAAGGGCCACTCCAGCCTGGTGGCCATGTGCTCAACAGTGAACACTTGCAGGTTTACATATAGCTAGGCATTGAGGCCTCACTGGAACTTATAGAATTGAATGAGGCCATACACAGGCTTCAAGACTTTACCAGATTAAAGAAATATTGTTTATCGATGTCGTCACCAAACCCACCTACCTGGCCATAGATCTACCTAACTAAGGGCAACATTTTTACATTTACCTGGTGTCATGCTTCAGCAGTTCCAAGTGTTTGATCTGTCGCACAGTTGAGTCCACAACTTTAATATTTCCTCTAGCACTTGGATATATCAATATGAAGTCCTGAAAATCCACCAGGGCTGAGCCAGCCTTCGATGGTGTGGGAGACCTAGATTTTAATTTTCCTATTCCAACTAGGACATTGTCTGCAACACTTTCTTGCCTTGTTTGGTTAGTATAGGGTGTTTCACTGATGACCAAGAATAGTAATAAAAAAAAAGGGGCACCTAAATGATTTCTTTGAGATAACGTTGTCAACCACGGCAGGCGTCAGGCTACGAGTGTGCAGTGATAAGTAGCAAAATAATAACTTAAAATCCACCGATTCCCTATTAAAATAAAATCTCCACAGCTGACACATTCCAATTAAAGATATGTTGCCTGTCGTCGAAAAATGCCTTGCCTGTTAGGACTCTGACTACTAAATTCTGCTCCACGCTGTTCTCTTAAAAATTTAAGCCGTGAGAAGACAGAGATGCTGAAAACTATACACAAAAGAGTGGTGGAAGTCTTACCCACAAGCGACATCAGCCTCTGCAGCGGGCATGGGTAAGGAGTTGTGCTTGGAGAATGTGGTCGTGGAAAATGTGCACCATACTCTGTTGCCTCCTTAGATGCGTAGCTTTAAGCACTCCTCCTCCCCCCCCCCCCGCCCCCCATCTCACCTTAGTTTCACACTGCCGGGCTGTAGACAGCTAATTGTGCCAGAGGATAGCGCGGAGCAGAATGTAACACTATGTACTCTGAATTTTAACAGCTATGGCGCCTTTTGATGATGGACAACAAATTTCCAATTAAAATGTGCCAGCTAAATCGAATACTGTAAACGACTTATTTTTTGCGGGCTCAATATTTCACAATTTAGGTTGAAGTTTTGGAATAATTCGCAAGTTCTAATTTTCTCGATGCTGTGAGATTTAAATTATTGATTCCAATGTGTTTACATTTCACCAAAATTGTTCGCGGGACCCATTTTTCGCAAATTGTAGGCATTTCGCGAAATTTAAGTCTTCGCAAAAATTAAGTCGTTTACACTATTTCAGAAGTAAATCAGTAGATTTTATGTAATTGTTTTCTTAATTATCACTTATACTCCCTACCCGGTGTCTGCCACGGTCTGTGATGTTATCCCAAAAGGAATCTTATTTAGTTCTAGTGCCTTTTTGTTTTTAGTTATTAAGTTGTCAGTGAAACACTGTGTGTTATAAATAGGCTGCAGGTTAGGACATGAGCTAAAGGGCCACACAGGTTTTGCTCTTCTGTTCCCACTTCACCACAACCAACATTGGAGGGAAGTGTGAGGAACAAACTGTGCATCTGCCTTTTCCCAGTATTGCTTGACTTGCAGAATTCTGTCAGTTTGCATTGGTTTTTCATATAGGTAGAATTGAAGGCTTGCAGGAATGGGAATAGAATTACCTGCTGCAATTTTGAAGGTGGTCAAAGGGCTGAAGTGGTTCTTGGATGCAACAGTGGTCATTAGAGGGGTACTCCGGCAATCTTTGGAGCTACCCCAACTATATTTTCGTAATAACTGGCTTTTACCCCTTCCGGTGTACTATTTAGTATTGCGAAATTCAGAATAGGTATTGTGAAATCTGTTAACGAAAAAGATGCTAAAACCAACATTCAAATATACTCACTTTTCAGTGCTGTGAAGTCGGGAAGGCAGGCTTGCAGGTCGATCGGGCAATCTAAAAATGGACTGTGTTGAGCATTTGTTTTATGCTGGTGCTGGAGAGAGCTTCTAAAGCATACATTTGACACCATGAAACTGCTTGTAATCAGTTGAGAACAAATTCTACAGTTCAGCGAATCCCTGCCTTCTGCTGAAGTCACCTTTACATTGTTACCCGTAGACTCACTTTGAAAAACACGGTGAGGACAAAAATTGTAAGTTCAATAACTGCGAGAGGAAAAGAAAAGTGTGTTTAGCAAGTTTTCAGGCAAATCAGGGACTATGCAGAAAACGGCAGAGTACCCCTTCAACAGTGGTTATCTGGCAATAAAACTAGCAGGATATGTCTTCAGAATTCTAAGTGCACCTCTTTTTACTGCATGTGGTATCGGCTGTCGTAACTGTGAGAGGAAGTGCGATGGGCTGGATTTGTCTTCACATATCCCCCTTTTCTTCTTCTTTTTTTCAAAAGCCAATTAAAAAATATGATTAGGTTCTCAAGAATGGGCAACCTTGCTGACATCACCACACTATTACTTTAAACGCGACATGTGTTGGCATCAACAGGCATCTTTTATGTGCACATGTCTTGGTCCTCACTCCTGTTGGTAAATTTTAAGATTTATGTTTCGTGGAAAAGTTGTCAGAGTGGCAGTTATGCACAGAATAGACGTCCAGCATACTCCCATGCTTGTGTGCACATTTAAGTAAAGCAGCATTCTTCCCCCGGTGTAAAGCAGTTTCCAGTAAAAACGGGTTTCTTCCGGTTTCACAAGCATGTGAACATTGTGGCATAGAATTCAAAAGTACTCGAGTGTTTGAAATTGCAGCAAGAACTTTCTGAATGAGACAATGCAACTTTGGTTGCGGGAGCCCTGCAAAGCTGTGCTGAAGCATTGTTCCGCCTTCCCCGAGCGTGCCGCTCAGGAAAAACGCCCAAGCTTTCTTTTTAAGATGGCAATTTGTGCAGCCACATTTTTCTAACATGCCCTTACATTTCTATTTCGTGGCAGCTTCTCCACATTACAATTTTATTTTTCTTTCAAATTTGGGCTTTTCTTACACAGGTCCCACCAGAATTGTTTTTAAAGACACGGTTGTAGCTGGTTTTGTCTGCCTCAGTGTTTGTGTGTATGTGTGCATCCTTTTTACTGCGTGTATGCACATACAAAGCCAAGTTTGAGTTGTGGTCGACGCTTTCCCAGGTGGCTGTTGCAATACTCTTATGCCCACACACATTCAGGTTTTACAAATAGTGCAAGCATGCTTGATGTGCAGGGCCTGAACTCCAGTTTAGAAAAGTCTTCCCACAGCAAGCTTCCTTTTGACAGCTATAGCATCTTTCAGCATTCCAGTGATCATTGCAACCTTGAGCAAGAGGAGGATTCGCATGCAGCATAGAGGGCACCATAGCTTCAGGTCTTGGCAGGACAGCTATTTGTATTTACTGGGTAAAACAATGCCAGATACGGTGATGGTAAACACTTGCCTGTCAGATTGCCCAAGGCACCTCGTTGCACCTCCACTCTTGGCAAAGTCTCGCTTGACTAGCATGGACACGAAAGGCATATTGCTGTGCTAAGAATAGTTTGCACTTCAGAAACTCTTGCTAGTTACCAAGCTCTCTCCTAGCTTCATTTTTATTTATCTGTATTTAGAGCAATGATGTGATCTGTGATGAGGTTTATGAAAGCATAGGGTTTTAACTTATCCAACTTGTTCTGTGGAGTGTTTGATGCCAAGTTTCATCCAATGAGGCAGGTTCACCTTCCAATAGGAAAAATTGCTTTAACAGTTCTCCTTTAACCGAGGTTCTTGATGTCAAACAGCTGCAGGGCAAGTTGCCTCTCAAAACTGCCTTATTCAGTGAGGTCTGTTGCAAAACGTTCTATTTTTTGTTAGCTACATGTAATTATCATTCCCAGCACAAGTAGTAGTGTTGCACACTGTAAGATATTCACACAGCGTTTTGTTTCTTTTGTACTCAACTTGACAAGTTGGCACAGCTGAGAGCTCTGCCAGACACAGGCGCTTGCTTTTATTTATTACACCTATTAATTGCATGCAAGCCTGAACTTCAATGTCCATTGGAGAAGTTTTGAAGTGTGGGGACAAAGAAAATGTTTTGCATGCACAGGCAAGGTTTCTGGGATGTAAGGCTTGTCATGGTAAAACGTCTGGGATATACCAAATGTGGCTGCAGATTTACTATATACGTTTATATATTATACAAATCTTACGGCGAGTGTACAGCACTCCCACATTTTGAGGCATATAAGTGATTTGTACATTTCAATACAAGCGAGTCGCATTCTTTCATTTTGCAAGACGGCGGCATAAAGCCCCTTTTTTTAATGTACAGTTTATGGACAAATAAATAAACTTGTGCTAATTGTAAATTGTCTTGTGTATCTAAATTGTGCTGAAAACTGCAGGTGTCAAACTGCCTCCATAGAATACTATTCATAGACATTCTTGGCATTACAAATTGGGACATAACAATACAGTTAAAAGTGATATTGCATTACAGTGGCTTTTAGGCCACAAACACAGCACTTCATTTAATCTGAATGGAACAAAACCTGGAATGTATTTTATACAATAAGGAAGCTCCATTGAGGCAATGACTGAAAGGTAGTGCCATGTAACTTTTCAGTCCAGTTGGCTTCAAGGATTGGGGGTTGTAAAAGCACATTTTTGCATGTTGCTCTGCAAGCACAGAGGCACGAAGGATAGTACCGAAGAAAAGTTGGTCTAAAAGAGTGGGGAGGGAGCTTAGTGCAAGGGAATACAAACACAGACCATGTGTGTGCACAGGACTTTAAAATACACTACATTAGCTTAAGCACTTCATATGTGCAGATTTTTTTTTTTCTTTCTACATCACTGAAAACGAGTTCTGAAAAATCCTGTAGCAACAGCACTTTCCAAAGCTGCAGTCACCTATCCTGACCGATGATGTACTACATTGAGCTTAAGCGCGATTTCAGCAAATAGTGTGTGCTGTTCTCTTTCCAGGTATCCCTTGGTTCACCGAGAGTTCTATGGTTGGAGGGGGGGGGGGGGGGGGGGGGTGCACTAGAGACGATTTGCATAAAAACGCAATGAAGGCAAATATTTTCATTACGAAATGCATGAAGTTGTCCACACAATGTGCAACAAGGAAAATAATTAATGAAAATTGCATAATGCGCAATAATTGCATATGCAGTCATCAATTTACTCATGAAGAAATGTCGCCGTTTCAACCGATGACAGCTTGGGGTAGGCTGCAGTGACAAATTTCCAACCACGCTGGCATTTACAGCCATACATATTCAGGGTGGCATAATATACTCATAAACTTTGTATATTTGTAAAGTGATCAATAATTGCAGCTAATCTCTCGCTTGATAGATTGCCGGCAGCTGCATTACCCACATTCGCTACAGCAACGATCAACTTAGTAATCTGTGTTGCCAGTTGCACTCTCCAACATGGTCAAATGCAGCATCTCACAGTTGCCGGAAGCAATTTCAGAAGTGGTCTATTCGAGTGGCAAAGCTTGGCGTTTTACACCGATTCATGCAAGTAAAGGGTTACCACCATGTTCAGGTGAAGTGTTGCGCTGCAAATTTTGTTTTCACTACTCCTTTGCTTTGTTCATGACTGCACAAGTTGCATAGCTTTGACTGAAATGACAAGAGACCCATGACTTTGCAAATGCACAAAACAAACTTGATTTCTTTCAAATGCAGCTTAGTGATGTAACAAAAAAATATGCCATTCTTCTTAAATTACAGTACGGCGGGAACCTAGTTTTTCCGAATATATTGCTGTTCTTGACCAGCCAAAATAGTAGTAGCCCAGTAGCCAAAATATATGTGCTATACCTAGGAACGCACTGCAGTGTTGAGTAGGATTTTAGGCTCGCGGAAGCCTGTGGGATATTGTTTATAACAACCTAAATAATGCTCTGTATTACAACCTAACTTTGATTTGGGCTGATTTCATTGTCAACACTTTTATTCATTAAAAATCTCTAGAGGTTTGTTTATCAATGACATTCCACTATGATATACACTTCATTTGTACAGGACACTGAAAAACTATTGCTCATGCAGTACTAAATTAACGCAAGTCCTCCATAGGTTCACTTGTATACATGTACAATGCGCTGCAATATGAAGGACCCACTGGGAGTGCGTGGCCAAGGCGGTGGCTGGCGGGAGCGCTCGCAGCGCCCCTGCCAGCCACCGCCTCGGCCACGCGCTCCCAGTGGGTCTTTCATATTGCAGCGCACTGTACTTGCACCATCAATATTCCACTGAATCTTGAGTGCCCCTGCACTACGGCACAACGGACTCAACCAACATGGTCGGCTTTAGAAAGAAAAAAAAAAAAATCTAAATGTTTGTGCTTATTAAGATTAATCACATTCCTAGGAACAAGCATAGGATCGGCCACAAAGTCTATAATGGTCCGAGGACCGGCCTCGGATGTTGGTATCCGTAAGTGCAGCCAGCATCACCGAAAGCCAAGAATCCCATAACGCCTTAGCCATCGCACTAACATTGGCGCCACGGAGAGTGTAATGAACATTCGAACTGGGGTGAAAAGTTTGTGCACGGCATAGGCGATGACGAATGTTCCGCCCCCTGCCGCCATCTTGGGAGTGAGGGAGATGGCATCAACGCTGAAGCCAAGCTTGACTGCAATGGCTGAGAGGTCGACTCCACTGCAATACAGACAAACGTGTGAACACTCTACGCTCACTTGTTCAGGAACTGTCACACCGTCCTTCCATACACAGCAAAGTAGTACTGTGGACTACAGCTTAAGTGATAGCGCTGGCAACAGCGCCATAAAGATTGCCTCTGCGGTGAGGACGTTTGCGTCATTACACAGAGTTTCCACAATGAACAGCTCATCCAGTGCCCAGCTTGCATGTAGAGAATAGTAGTTAACGAGGAAGGATGTAACAAATAGACAAACGGCGCTCGGTCTCTCGACCAGTTCGCTCACCTCGAGACGACGACGTAACAGATTCCGAGCGACGTCACCGATAAGACGATGTGGAACACAACCATCGTCGTGCCATACTCCTTGATGGCATGTTTCCACTTGTCCGTGCGCGACACTGGCTGTAATTTCTTCTCACTTTCATCTGATGACGCTGAAAGAGAAATACGGTGGAAGGGGGCAAAGACCACCGCGTATGTACTACTGTACATGATATCAACCGAAGGCCATGCGAGATAAGGGCAGTTTCTACTGTTGCCAAGTGACGCACAGCTGCCCGATTTCAGCAGAAATTACAGCACTTAACACACCCCAAAGCTAGTTCAAACATAACATGACTCAACCCGCACCATATGTGAAATCGCACAAAAACTTACATGCCAAGCTCCTGTAGATGCTAAAGTGTCCGAGCGGCGCCATGAGACGTCGCGACGGCTTCTCCGGGAACCGAACACACAAGACGGAGCGCGGACTTGTGATGTTGTTGACCTTTGAGCAACGCAGAGATATAGTGCGGCTGGGCCAAGAGATTGCGCGTTGTCTTAGAAGCAACGCCAAAACGCGGTAGCTCATCGCAACGGCTCTGATCGCAACTACAGCGATCACGGAGATCGCAACAATCGTCAGCTGACAAAGGCAAATAACGGATTGGATTATCTTTGGCTTTTGAAGTTGTACTTTCCGTCACCGAAATGCCGAAATGGAACACGAACTTTTTGAGCTTTGTTCGTACTTTATAAATTTAATAAACAAAGTCGCTTGAGAAAAGATTTATAGTAAAGATATGAGTTTAAGATGTGTGTATGAACTTTATGACATTGTACTGTTTCGAAATCAGCTGCGTTAATAGTTTCGGTTTCGTAGTGGTACCTCTTTCCACCGTATTGCGTGCGGACGCGATACTTCTGGTAGTCCCAAAAACCGAACACGCAATCTGAATATGAAATACATCTCTCTTTTTTTGTTTTTGTTTTTTTTTGTTTTGGCGATGCGTGTAACCCTGGTCAAAGATAATTTTTATTTTGACAAATATTTATGCATTGGGCTTAGGTTGATAGAGACGTGTCTTTTGCACTAGTCGTATTCGCATTCAGTTAGCCATTTTGTCCATTCAACAAAGCTGAGTTTGTCGTTACACTTAGTCGAGTTTGTTTTAACTTGTAAGTTATAAACTTATAATATTCTTAATCGAACCATTCCAGTTCCCTAGCTCTTGCGCCTGTGAACGGTCGTGACGTTCACTCCCCTTATTTTCTACGCCTCACCTCTCCATTGCTTGACAAATCTCACAATGGTTGTTTGAAAGTGTTGTCGTTCGTCAGCCTCAACGGACGTCTGGTGTCTCAGCTGTAGATGAGAAATTTAGCCAATGCAGCACAGCTCCCTGGGTTTTGCGCGAGGTTTCACCCCACGTGCTTCGAGCTGGTTTGCGCTAACCTACTCGGTCACCGATCCCCGATTGTTTAATTGAAATTGTTCATTTTGCAGGTTTTCTGCCCATGATATGTCTTGCTGGGGCAGAAAACAAAAGTGAAGGGTATATATGTCATTGCTAGAAGTCCTCGCGGTCACTTGTCTTCTCGTAACGTCTCGTACCGCTTTTTTTTTTTTTTTTAAATTCGTACAATGTGCCACACGGCATAATATGGGGAGGCTTCAGAAAAAGAAAAAAAAAAAAAAGGAGTGCAGTGCAGCGTCGTGCAGGAACTGCAGGAGCAACTTGTAGTATTTGTCGTCATTCACCCATTGAGAGTAGTTATCGTGTGGGTGACCCTTTCGTCCGGCCTCGCTGAGTACCTTCTCACGGGTGGTTTTGGTCCCGGGGCAGAGCCACAGCAGACGACGAGCATCCGCCGTACCCACAGGAATAATAATTTGTCTTTTTCGGCACATTGTGCATGTGCTAAACATCTCCCCTTGGACGTTTTACCGCTTTTGGTCGTTAGCTTCTTAGATAATTAAATCACCACAGTGTCGCGTAACTGAGATCGATCTTTCAAATGCGGACACGTCTCCAGAAGCCCCAAGAACCATATATACTCATACTTTAATATATCACTTTCGCGGATCGGATGTCATTCGTTTCCCGAAGAATGTGTTCATCCATGGAAGGCAAGGGTTCGTAAGTTGAGAGTGAGTCTATGAAACCTCTGGTTTCAGGTTTACTCTTTTATGCAAATTCCAATGAGTGTTTTCTTTTGTGTGGTCATTTTCTTCGTGTTTTGCAAGCTTCTTTATCGTCGTTTCGTTTCGTTTGGGGCGCATACCGTCTGAAATACTTGATGACGAGTGTGCCAGGACCGCCATTTGAGTGGCTATCGGCAGGGAGGACTTTCAGTTATCACGCGTCCCGCGCGAGCCTTCGATAATGCTTGGGCGTCTCGTGAGCTTCGAGCGTGCCAAACGCAGCCGGCGGAAGACAACGAGCGCGTGCCTTCCGCCGTGCTTCGAAAGAGACGCCTTGAGCTTTGGACAGGGGCCTCCAAACCCTGACCCGCGGACGTCTTCCGACCGGCCCGCGGCCGGCCGTGGTTCTTCCAATCAAGCCCGGCTCGCGACCAGGCTTCCAGCAGACTCGCTGCTAGAAAGAATTAGCAGCGGACCCGCGCTGCCACCGACGCGCTTCAGATGCGCTAACGAAGATACCAGAAATAACGAGAGAAACTGCGCCGGAACGCGGGTCCTCTCGGCATATTATTAACTGAGCATTGTAATCACCATCCTCACCATTCTTAGTCCCCTACTTAACGAACGTGTAACTATATTAAACTTCCTATGTGTTCTCATGTACATTGTGCCTACGGTGTCCTCTCAATTAACTATTGCATATTCTACATTAGTTTTATTGTTCTCATCGGTCTTTTGCACTGCGCGAATCGGTCAAAGTTCCTATGCGCTTTAATTTATGCTAGGTGAGTTTTCTTGGTCACAATTGTTGTGTAATGTTATAATTTGGATAAATATTAGATTTCATTTTGAAGTATATGTATTTATCAACCTTACGCTTTTTTTTTAATACTTACTCTAAGATTCATTTCTGTGTTTAAATGCTATTTTTTTTTTTTCCCAGTCGTCGATACTGTTACAGATCCCTAATCCGGCCCTAGCCAAAAAGTATGGATACAAATTGACCTTATGGCAACGTGCATGCATGCGGATGACACAGCAATTGTGCGCAATTGATTATGCGCACTGCTACAGCAGAGTGTCGCGAAGCATCGACGATAAACGTAGAATGTGCGGTCTCTCTCTGGTGTATCAAAATCGAAACGGGCCCGGCGCGGTGGCGCGAAAGGGCGTGTCGCTACAGAGGACTCGGCACGCGAAGTGGTCGCGCAACTCTCAGAAGCGGAGAGAGGCGACCTCGGACCCCTCGGACGAAGTATGGAAGGGGGAAAGGAAGACCGAGTCGGGGATCTCAGTCGGCACTCGGTCCGCTGCTCTGAGTGAGCGACGATGCCTCTGGGAGGAGCAGTTGCCCTGGCCACAGAGGTCTACGTGCGGACCTACAAATGGATGGACAACCTGTTCAACTACGTTTTCGTGAGTTGCCATCATGGCATCATCGATGACCAGAATCGCGCTTTTCGGTTGTAAATGGCGTAACAGCTGAACGGTCAACAGGTCCGATTTTGTGAGGAGTGTGGCAAGCGAAGGGGTTGTGCCCTCGTCCCTGTTCACTTTCTTCCAGTGGCGTCGGAACAAGGGGTGGTTGGGGACAGTTATAGACTCAAGTATATTCAACGGTTCGGAGTATGAGAAAAGAATGTTCCCATCTCCCGAACACTTCCCATCCGACGCTACTGCTTTCTTCCGTGAATCTTCGAGATTCCCGACCTCTAAACCCCAATAAAGCTGTGTCAACATCCAGGGGCGGATCCAAGGGGGGGGGGGGGGGGGGGGGGTGGGGGGGCGGGGGGGTGGGGGGGAGGGGGGGGGGGGGGGGGGGGGGGGGGGGGCGACGGGGGGGGGCCGCCCCCCCCCCCCCCCTTCAACAAAGTCGACCCCCTCCCCCTCCCCCCCCCTTCTCGGTGCACAAGAAAGAATGGGAGAATAGTTCTTTTCAAATTTTCCGCCCCCCTTCAAAAAAAAAAAAAAAAAAAAAAAAAAAAAACGGAGTTCTGGATTCCGCCCCTGTCAACATTCTCTTTCATCCTCCAGATGATAGTCTTTCTGACTCACACTGCTAGTCTGTGTTAAACCGTAAGTCGTGTTTAGAGCGATGAAGTGAAACTGGATGTATTACGGCAAGCCAATCAACGATGCTCGCCTATTTTTCATTTATATATATATATATATATATATATATATATATATATATATATATATATATAAAATGCGCGTCACCGCGTGACGTCACGTCATTCGGACCGCCGTCTGCTTGAGTGTAAGTAAGCAAATAAATAACTAACACTCGGGGAATGCATACGGTGTCGACAATAACAGTCTGCATGACGTGGAGCAGCGTGACGTCCGTCGAGCTGAACCACGGCCGCTCGATCGCCGAGGCAGAATTATCAGCGGCCGTGGTTCAACTGTTTTCTTGACTCTTCGCTGCGAGTGCTGTAAGTAGCCTGCGGGGCGCTCCCGCCATGCGCGCAGGCGCGCCGCCAGAATGGCGAGCGGGAGAATTTCACTAGCGAGTCAGTGCGATGTAACTTTAATGGTGGGAATGTCCGAGACGGAGTGCACGTGTAAACAGACTGCGCAAAAAAAGAACAAACGACAAAAAAAGAAAAAAAAAAAAAAAGCCACTGACCCGTCTTAACCATCCGCTTGTTTCCTCGACTCACGTATAGACCGAGCTCCCTTGGCGCCTTCGCACCGACTGCGAATGCGGGTAAACCCATCATTAAAATCTGCCTGGCCACGGGAGCGAGTTCGCGAGGCGACGAAATTTGCGGGCACGAGTCGCAGCGCACGGTAGAAGCGAGCGCAGTCTCCATTCAGTTTGCTCGACCGAAACGCCTAATTTTCCGTTGTTCTTTTGTATACCGTATTGTTATTGTCTGTCCAGTTGTGGAGGGGAAAAAACATCCCGCAAACGTGACGATCGCAAGAGGAAACGCGAAAGTCAAGGCCGCGTGCGCCAGGTCTCAGCCGTTTGACCAAATGGGTCTGTGCCCGCAGTCAAGTATGACACTGGCAGGAACTACGAAGACAATACAGAATAAACTTTTTTTTTTTTTTTATGAGCATGCTTGGAGTTGAAACAAAAAAGCTTTTTGCGATTTTCTTATATAAAAAAAAAAAAGAGACAGAGAGAGAGAGAAGGAAAGTGTTTTATAAATCGTCACAAAAAGGCTATCATCTTCATATGGGCACCAGGAAGACTGCCGCTGATGTTTTTCACAGCGACTTGCCGACGTACCTCTTCAAAGGCACGTCGGCAGAGCGAGAGGTTATAGTCTTCCGGCTTGCATCATTGCCCACGTTTTGCTCAAAACGGCGCTAGATGCGCCCGAGACGCGCAGTGAATAGCCCTTCGTGAGAATAAATATTGTGTACATTCTGCGCCCCTGTCCCCTTAGTGCACTCAGAAGCCTGCGATAAAACCTTCGTGCAATTTAGCGTGTTTTTTTTTTTTTTTTTTTATATGCTGTTTTATTTTATTCTCCCCCGATATTGTGTCAGCTAACTAAAGCGGCAATGCACACCTTCAAAGACTTCTCATACCCGAATCATTTGTAAATAAAAACAAAAAGAATAAACATAGGCACGGACAGAACAGCACGAAAGATGTGCTGTTCTGTCCGTCCCTATGTTTATTCTTTCTGTTTTTATTTAACTTCACTTCACTTCGCTGGTCCCTTAGTCGCATCCCTCGACATTAGGGAGTTTTCCTAGACCGCGTTTTCCCCTCCGCTTAGCCCTCCGCAACGTAGAAGCCGCTACTGCGCCTGCGCGCCGATAGCCTTGACTGTAGAGTTCCGGGTATCGTAGCGGGTTGCGGATAGCGTTGCGGGACCGCCAAAACGATCTACGAAATCTCCCTATTGTCTAGCCGTTTTAATTTTACGGTGCGTCTTCTCCTGCCAGGAAGGGCATTACTTTTCTTACATGCAATGTACCGGTTTGTTTCGTAAATTGCATATTCATATTTTATTTCATTGAATGAAGACGGCGAGCAACGACGGGGGTTATTTATTTATTTACTTATTTATTTATTGCGATTCTGTTCGATCATGTATTCCGAGTTTATAAGCTCCGTGAGTCTCATCCTCCGCTTTGGATCGCTAAAAGCGCCCTGTTTATAATATTTCGCTTTTATTTGTTGACGCATCGTTAGCAACCCTCTCCCGCTGTCTTGGAGTCAAACAACTCACAGTGTGCCGCAAGGCACGCGGTTTTGTTTGAACACAAAGACAAAAACTCACCCTAATTTTGAGGGCAAAGAAGTGTTCGCTCGTGTATCCAGACAGTTACTTAGCAAACTTAACAGCCAACATCCATATCCACTCTGTCCACGCCAAGGCTGTATAGTGGAGCGAAAGTGTGTACATGCCTTACGGATCAATTACGTGTCACCTTTGCATCAATTCACTCTTTCGGCTTAATTGCTTTGGTCCCATTTAAAGCCCCTTGATGTGCTTGTTTGTCTTTCAGTATACGTCGAATGCGCCAATGCACGAGGCCGTGCCCCAGGCGACCCTTGGAAGCAAATGGTTGCGCGAAGTTAATGGTGGCGGAGCACTCGCTCGTGGTTCGCGGTCTCGCGCGTTCGCACAACAATGGTTGTCGATACATGTAAAAAAAAAAAAAAAAAAAGAAAAAAGAAAACTTAAAGCGCAAATTTTTTCAAGAGGCTTTAGCCCCCTGTGTGGTTTGCCGTTCGGACAACTGTGGTACTTCCTAAGCACAGATAACAGTCTCGACGTCTGCTCGACATCCGTAGCACACTAACAGCAATGCAAGCGGTTTTCCACTGCACTGCAACGGAAGACCTCTCATCGAGGACTCAGCTGAGACAAACAACAACAACGGGCGTGTGAAACTGTGCCATCCGCGCGATGATTTTCTCCCGTGCAAAGGTTCGAAAATTCCGCGACTCTCTGAATAGCTGCAGGGCGACATGGAAGCACCTAAACGCCAGTAATATAGCTTGAGGTCCCTGCCTGCCTATTCCCTGATTGGCGCCATAAACGTAAGTCGGCGATATCGCTGTAAGTAGCAGAAAGCCCGTAGTCGTGTCGGTCGCCGTTGGCGTGCTCCTCTGCCATAGGCTTTGGTGTCGGCTCTCTATCGAGACTCTTTCCCCTTTGGAAGGGCTCGCTTCCAGACGTCGGTTCACGATCTGAATCGCGTTTTCTGTTTCGCAGCGAAGCTTCGGACGATCGTTTCGTGCAAAGTGAACGTGAGTGTCATTAGATCGAACACATATCTTTCCCTTTGAAAAGTCTATTTTTACGTGGTACTACGACCCACTGCCTCCTCACGTTTTAATCGTCTACTGACCATCCTATTTTAACGGTAAATGATGACGTGAAAGCAACTAATTACAATTGCTAATGGCAAAAATTTAATAAATTAAAACATTGTCGAGCTTTACCGAAACATATTCTTTAAATTTTCATTTTGTGCGTGTGATCAAATATTTTATCCAACAAACTGGAATTTTGCTTTTTATCGATCTAAGTAATGAAAACCGAATGGTTATTTATGTAAACAGAGACTTCATTCATGATTCATTAGTGCTTTCGGAAATCCAAGGGCCCCTCTTTTCTCCCTGCATTCAACAATTTTGGTTGGCATCAATTACTACATTACTAAGCAATAGTAAATGTAATATGATTACTGTTGGTGTCACTCACGAAAATATAACTATTACCTAATAGCAATCAATACAACTATATTCCTGTCACTCAAGTTGGAAAGATATGCAATCGGCAGACAACATATAACCAGGGCCGTCTTTAATGCAGGTCATTGAAAAATCGGCCTGACTCCGTTTTTGGGACATTTGCTTGGAAAAATGGGCGGAGGTAGCTCAGGACTTGTGAGTAACTCTTACGCTTGTTTAATACAAAACACTAAACAAGAATAAATCTAGAATTCAGTTAATCAACAGTCGCGATTGTACAGTAACGTCCAAGTTGCGCCATACGTTGTACTGTCGAGAGCCATATGGTGAATATAACCCGAGATTGGAGCAGGAGGAAAAAGTTTGACAGGATCTGAAACATACCTGTCGTGTTCAGAAGTAGGCTGAATATGATCCACAATATCCGTAAATGACAATCGCACGTTTTTATTTTGAACTTGATGGCCGTATTTTTTTTTATAAACGGCCCATTTCGGCAAGCGCTCGGAGAGCAGCCAGCGAAGAGCACGTCAAATGCGGCGCATTCGTGACGTAGTCTGTCTCGGGATGAGCAAAGCTGCGGCGAGGCTGACGTCGTCAGGAGCCGTTCCAGCCACCGAAGCGGTCGAAGCACGCCAGCGTTGGGGCCACCGCACTAACCGCAAAGCTGCTTTCGTGTGCTGGGGCACACAAAAGAGAGTCCTGTTGAGAGGGGAGTATCTCTCCACTTTTCTCTTATGCTGGCCGTAGAGCTGTCAGGATGATGTCAGGTTCAAAGCATGTATAGTTCTAGGCGAGAACTATACATGCCGTAGACCTGTCAAAGTTCATAGACGCACATTACAAACGAGGCTTTAGCGACATTCACCAGGTGCTCTTTGCTAATCGTTTAATTCGTTTTAAAATTCCTTTTCGTGTCCTTTTTAACAAGATATTGGTGTGTTCAATCTGATACAGCTCCTTTGAACACGTACAGACCAAAAAATAAGCGCCGAAATTCCGGAGATGCCTCTTCGGCTGGTTGTTAATGAAAGCAGAACATGGCAGGAAGTTGTTTCCCAGTTTCTTCAAAAAGGTCTAGGGCAGAGGTGGCCAGCCGGACATATCCAAAGAGCCATAGAAAGCCGTAAGAAAAAAAAGAAAAGAAAAAGGTGTGATACTTTTTTTTTTAATTTGTTCTTTACAGTTGAATTTGGTGGCCACGGCGAATTCCACTCATAAAGCGATTGCTCAGTATTTTTATTTATTGTGAGTTCGCACTCGATAAGACAGAGACAATGTCCGAAGTGTACGTGATGGCACAAATATGACAAAACGCAAACTGTCTTTCGTTCTATATGTATTTCCTTCTGCTCTTTTTTTTTTTTAAATGGAAAAAGGGGGGGGGGGGGGGAGGGGGGGGGGCTGCCAGGGAACTGCGACAAGTACTTGGGCCTCCGAAGAGCCGCATGAGGCTCGCGCCACCCCTGGTCTAGGGCCTACACATCTCTCTCTGTCACTGCAGAATTCAAGCGAGTTGATCGGACTTCACGAGAGTCATCATGGAAGGGAATTTTTTTTTTTTCGATGGACATTAATGATCTCCATTACCTCCTGTCGACGGTTGTAAACTCTGAACAGAAAAAGAGGGTGCGTGAAAGGGTAGTTTGTTGCACCGGCGTTTTTAGCTGAAGTGTATCTGGATTCCTTGGGCTCTGTTGTGTCCGAAAGACATAGTGGTATACTCTTTTCATGAAGGTTTGTCGAACAGTCTAGAAACGTTGATCAGATCGGCAGCACCTGAACTACAGTTCACTGTAGAAAAGCGGCCCTAAAATGGTGTGTTTATTTATTTATTTATTTTTTTTTTAGATTTGCTGATTCATGCTGAAGAAGGGTTATGGTGAGAGTACGGCAAAAAAAAAAAAATCAAAACCGGTGGACACCACCGGTTTTTATTTTTTCTGCCGTGATGAGTTACCATTCAAAAACAGTGAAAGCGGGTGTTGTTAAGTCACTGATCAGGAATCCATTAGACGGGAAACGGAATAAATGGTCCCGGAATAAATGGTCCCGGAACAAATGGTCCCGGATTTAATGGTCCCAAGTAGAAACTATGAAAAAATGGTCCCAGATAATATCGCCAATGTGGCTACTACGTTTTCGGATAAATCCGATAAAATCCAATAACACTCGCTGAATTTTGAGACTGCCGGTTACACGAACTCGACCGGTTTTTATATTTTTTTTCTGGGAAGCTCAGAAATGTTTTGCTTTTTGGAAATCTAATGCACCTATAAAGGCATCGAGCTCCGCTCGATTTGTGTGCTACTACTACGCGTCATGACGAGATGGAAGTAATTCGAGTTTCATGGCTTCAACAGTATGACTAGGTGGGGTTGCATTCACTCGATCGACTGACGTTTTAGTGAACGCCCACATTTCACCGAAAAACACTTCAGCGAATAGTCGTCCGCCGCAAAGCGGCGTTTACGGGGGGGGGGGGGGGGGGGGGGGGGGGGTAGGGCAAAGTGGGTTCACACTTTTATAATGAGCCGCCGCAGACTGTCGCTGCAAAGCGGCGTAAAGCGCGATCCAAACCAACGCTTCTTTTTGCGCCTGTAAGTCGTGCGGCTGCGGATGTGACGTATTTTCGTGACGTCGCGCCGCTTCTTCGCTCCTTCCGGGCGCGCATAAAAAAGTTGGTTGATTTCAACTTCTTTCTCAACGCGCACAAAAACGCGCGGTGACGTAGTAGGACGCTCCTGTGTCCCGGCCAATCGGTGGAGGGCAAGCTAGTTCCGGCTCCGCGTTTCTTGCCGTCAGGCTGCCCTCTCCTCCCCCCCTTTTATTCTCTTCCAACATGACAACGCGATCTCTCTCTCTCTTTCTCTCGCCGTCTGGCCGGCCAGTCTGTCGCAGTTGCACTTTGCTTGTGCGCTCGTGCCGAAGTTTCGCCCGTCCAAACCAAAGCGCACGGTTCTGACTCAGAAAGCGCGCCCGGAAACAGCAAAAACGCCACGAAATGCGTCACATCCGCAGCCGCACGACCTACAGGCGCAAAAAGAAGCGTTGGTTTGGATCGCGCTTAAGCGCTGCGCGGAAGGGGGTGGGGTGGGAGGGGGAGGGGGGGTTAACACGCGATTCGCTGAAATGTCGCTGTTTGCTAAAACGTCATTCGTTCATGTGAAATGGACCGGTGATAACTCCTATAATATCGTATAAGGTCACTAAATTAACAGTTATGAGATAACTGTAGGATAGTATTCATTTCGAAAATATTCTGACGATTTTGAATAAAATTAAGTTCAATTAACCCGACCACTTTCTTCAAAGTAACCGGCCTCAAAATATAGACGAGATCCTTCATTCCACCAGGAATTCACTGATTGAATAACGGATGAAATATATTGCATGGTATATCTTAGTTTCAAGACATCCTTCTTACAGGATCATTTTTTCCTATCTTGTACTTAGAACCATTAGCATTTGTTCCCACACCCCCCTTAGACAGGTCTTGGAGAAGACTGAGAAGTGCCGGTTATTAGGATGGGTTCGTCAAAAGGCAATTATCTCTACAAATCGCAGACAAAAGTGAAATTATCTCTACAAATCGCAAACGAAAGTGAAAGAACAAAAATCAAAGAACAAGTTTGCTGTAATCCCGTATTATCATAGAATACCACGTAACTTGAAAGCATGTGCCAAAAGGTTCGCTGTATAGATGCAGTTTGAAAAATTAAATTTTAGATTGAGTAGACTCACGCCTTATCAAGTGAGTGCAAAATGCCCATCGTGAGAAGTCGGTCCCCTGCGAAAATGGTGTGGTCTCTGGCTTGACTGAGCCCAAAAGAAACGTAAATAATAACGCAGCTAATTCGGAAATAACTATACATGTTCACGAATTCAATAATTGTGGTCCACACTGGTCGTGAGCAGAAATAGTACCAGAGAGGTAAATAATATCAAAAGAGTCGGAAGAGAGACAATCCGGATAAAATCTATAGGAAACGGTCAGCTTATACAATCTTGTGCGCAGCAAGGACGAGGAGAAAAGAAGAGAACAGGACGCAACAAGGGCCACTTGTTGTGTCCTGTTCTCTTCTTTGTCCCCGTTCTTGTTGCGCACAAGATTGTATAAGATGTCAAACCAACTCGCCCAAACAACTACTCTCCTTGTAACTGTCAGGCTTCTTTGCAGCTTGGTGGTAATTCTAAAAAAAAAAAAAAAAAAAAAAAAAAAAAAAAAGTTTTTGCAACTTTAATGGTTTCGTTTTAGTAAGAATGATTTGGTGTTGGTTGTCCTTTTATAATATTTTTTTAATAGAAGTTGGGGGGGGGGGGGGGCGAAATGCGGGGTCAACCTTGCAGCTTTGTTGTGCGTCACGTTTAAGAGAATCGTGTTACTACCTTTTTTTTTAATGTGACTTCTTAAAAAGCAAAGCAACCCAAAAGCTTTTTTTTTTTTTTTGTACAATCTAAAGTTAATTGTTTTCTAGTTTTTTGTGTTTTTTTTTAAGTAAATGTGTGTTGTTGTTTTTTTTGTTTTTTTTTTTGCGTGTCCTTGAAAAACAGGATGTTCTGCACATGGTTGAAAAAAAACCTAGACTGCGGATAAACGTTTCGTTTTTTTTTTGTTCATGTTCTGCAGTCTGGTGGCGTCATGGATCCGTGTAAGGAGAGTGATTAATGTTTAACTGAGTTAGAGGCGTTGTCTCTCCCTGTTGCTTTGTCTGCCGCTGTCAAAAATTTCCTCGGTCTATGCCAGTCTCTGGTTAAATTCCTCATGGTAAACTTCCACGGGCTCGCCTGCGCAAAAACTGTATTTTCGTTTTCTGAGAGACTCGCGAGGCATAATCTCAAAACAAGACTCGATTTACGGGTGTCATACAACCCCCAGAGAACAAACTCATTTCGCTGCATTTTACTACGATCTTGAAACAGAAGTGGACTACGCAAGATGTAGGTGCACGTCTCGCGCGTGCGTGTGCATGCCAGCGCGTATGTGTATGTGAGAGAGAGAGAGAATTCAGAGGCACGTCACATTAGGGAAGCATCTGTCCAATATGGGATTCGCGCTTTCATTGGCTTCTGTAATGTTTCTGTACCGAACCAGTTACTCCCTTATATTCATACAGTTTGTCGATTATGCTATCGAAAAATTGACTTTGCCTGCCATTTAACACTCCTCTCGAACCGCATTTGTGGTTGTGAACGGTGTTGTTGCTGAGCCTCGGTCCCCGTACTTGAGTGCTGTGCTTTCTATTGTGGCGGATAATTTCCCCGCAGATCAAGCCTTCCACGATGCCGCTCTACGAGCCCGACTTGCCGTTCGAGGAGGCCACCTTCGGTATGGGCTGCTTCTGGGCGCCAGAGTCGATGTTCGGCTGCTCCAAAGGGGTGCTCAGGACTCGGGTCGGCTTTGCAGGCGGGGCCAAGAAAGACCCGACCTACCGTTCTTTGTAAGTCGACTTCGCACGTATCCGGAAAATTGTACTTGGCGCACGTTGAATCGTCACTCACAAGCGGAAACTTCATATCGATCACATTTAAAGAAAGAAACTTATTCTAATAAAAATATTAATTCAATCGGACCATCGATCAGAATTTATTTGAGTGAGAAAAGGCTAAAGTAGGAAAAAAAAAATACCACCGACCGCTATTTCGGCCGCTACCTCGGCAGTAGCGAAATGTGGCCGTCCACTCCAGTACTCCGCAGACGAACTAAGGGAGCGAAAGAACGACATTCATGCTTTTGCATTCACAACTCATGAGAAGGGCTTGGGTGTCCTTGGAACTTTTTTTTTTTCTGGAGAAGGTGGCGTGTTTCTTCTCACTTGTGCCTAGATCACCAATATAAAAAATACAAACTGCAAACTATTTCAACGTCAAAATCATTGTACTGCCCCTTTAGCTTATGATGCATAGCATCCGAAGAGGATGCATCCACATGCAAAGTTTTCCTGTTGTGTTTCGAAACATTGGGTTTTCGCGGGAGAACATACATATCTTCTGGTGAAAGAGTTGAGTTTAGCGAACACGACGCACATTTCCTTGTCAAATGAAAGTCAACGCACCATTCAAATCATATTCATATTCAGCAAACCTTGCTCCGCCGTAATGCCACACCTGAGACTATTTGAAACCTTTTGTTGGGCATTGCCCAAAAAAAAAAAAACATTTATACTCGTAAAAAAACAAAAAAAAAGCACGCTGTTTGTTGAAATAACAGCACTTTTTGAACGTGGACCAATGCCCAGCGGTGCCGCTTGTTGAATATATTCTTCTGTTGCGGGTCGGAGACATTCAAGTGCATATTCGTTGAAGGAACTACGCCAATGTCATCCCAAAAAGAGAACTGGTGAACTGTAGAGGCTACGGCCTCCGCGACCCAATAAGAGCGTTGGAGTGAGTCACGTGACACCACGTCACGGGGGCGTTCGTGTCACTACGCCAAATGCGAGGCTCGAAGGAACCGGCTGCCGTCCGCTGGCCAAGAGTCGTCTGCTGCGAAACCAACCAACTTCGGGGATGAACGGCCACCGCCGTAACATTGCCGTCCGCTTGAGTATAGCGAGCTCTACGGGAAACGGTTCGTGAGACAACCACACGCTCGATTTACCCGCGCGAATCTGTGGTGGGTGCTAACGCCATGGCAATGTGACAATCTGAGCGGAAGCGGTCGATCAAGGGCTGCGATCGTTCCAACAGCGTTCAAAAGTCACATATTTCTCGGAAAGGGTTGATCCCAAGTTTCGCTGAAAAGTAACATGTCTTCCTATTTCTTCCGTGTGGTGTAGCGTGTAGATACAGACGTACACGCGCGACTTCAATTGCCGTTAAAAGAGAAAGAAGCCTAGAACAACATTATGTTGCGGACGGCGCTGTTGGTGTGGCGGTAACGAGGCCTCCGTAGCTTCGACCATGGAGTGTTGCCACGTGCCTTGCTCCGACATCCCTTATTGGGTCGCAGAGGCCGCAGCCTCCACAGTTTGCCAAGTTATCGTGAAACGGAGTGTAGTTTGATTACTATTGCATTGTCTTCATGACACCAAGATAATCCAGTGCAAAATCAGTAGACATGCAAGGTATAACCTTCCAAAAACCTTCGATTTTTGGTAATCTTGCTTATGTGACCGAGAAGATACGCAGGCTTAGCCTCCAACATACTGAGTTTCGTTTCATAGTCAAATCAGGCAACTGTTGGCCTGTAACGTTGTAGCACCACTGTCGCTCATGACTGAAAGCTGCTCAACGGAAAGGGTATTTTGTTTTGCACAGTGAGCGTGGCTAGCATCTACAAAATAAATGAAACCTGCCGTCAATGATGCGTGTGTACATTGTTTGCTCCTTTTGGACGATCTATTGGCCTATATGTATCATCGCAACGAACTAAGCCATTAAACTAAGACTGCCGTATCTGCAGGGGTGACCACACGGAGGTAACTCGCGTCGAATACGACCCCGAGGTGACCAACTTTAAAGAGCTGTTGGATCTGTTTTGGGCCCATCACAACCCTACCAAGGACTCTTCAATGACCCAGTACATGTCGGCCATCTTCTACCACGATGACGCGCAGAGAAAGGCTGCAGAGGACTCACTCAAAACTACGCAGAAGGGCTTCCGGGCACCTGTGGTCACGAAAATACTCAAACTGGAAATCTTCTACGATGCTGAGGAGTGAGTAGCAGTTCCTCAACCCTTGTTGAGATTGTCTACCCGTCCTTTGTATGCACTCTATAGACTCTAGTGGCTCTTGATTATATCGATGGAACCCCTAAACGGGTGGTTTTTAGTTTGTTAAAATTCGCTTGTAATCTCAGTCATCTGCACAAATTGATTTCTCAGTTTTACATGAAAATGCTTTGGAAACTTTCTGAACGCAGGAGTGAGACGACGTTACTTCGGCCGCAGCACTGGCAGCTTTGTATTGCAGTGAAACTGTTGCCAGTTTGTCGGGCTATGAAGAAAAACACGTCCTTGCGGCGTATCCAGACGTTCAAGTTGAGGACAGAGCGAGGCGCGCCGCATGAATTTTGACTTCCTATGGGAAATGCTGATGGCTCAGAGGCGTGCATAACATCTAAGTCGTAAACGTGTTGAAGCAGAATGTCACGCACACAAGTAGAGCAAAGAAGCGATCGTCAGAATTTTCTGTTTTAAAGCGATAGCTTTATGGGCGACACTTTGCAGAGATTTAGTCCTCGTCACTTCTCGTCGCCGCGCACGCGAAAAATGGAAAAACGTTTCCTCTCTCCCCTCTTCCCGCGAGAGGAGAGAGAAGATCGTACTCCACGTCCGTGCCGCGCGAAGCGAGCGAAGACAAGCAAAGAGGGGAGTCCTGGCGTCCCGCCAAGAATTGCGCAACGAAGGGCGAATCTTCGTGTCGTCTGCTTGAAAGACTTGTTTTCCAACATTCCTCGCGTTATGCGAAGTCCCACTTTTGCATGCAGTATCCAGTTGCTACGGGTAATGTTAGATGGTTTTAGAAACGTACACTGCGCTTACCCACTCCACTTACTTCACGAATGACATGGTGGAAGTCGTCAGTGGCATCCACGACACCAACCACGACGGCTATGAGAATTAATCACGTCACACCTCCGTCCTCCGGTACGTAACGGCACCATTCCACCCGCATTGCGCTACTGTGCTACAGCTATCGATTTCGTTTCTTCGCACATTGTGGGCGAAAAATACGACTTTTTTTTTTTCTCACGGAATCGAAAGGTCAGCTGTCATCAAAACTACTAGTGTGATGGAAAGTGTTCATTCGGGACACACTTTAGGTAATTTTTTTTACCCGCCAATATCCTTTCAAAGTAAATAAATAAATTAAAAAAGACGCATACGTCTTCCTTTGGGAAACGCTAACGCTGACCCCTTCACTTTTCTCTTTTGGCTTTTTCTTCTGCTTCCTCTATTTTTTGCTGCCTCCTTTTGGCCTCGTCACGGTGTCAGTGTTTGCGTTTCCTGCAGTAGGATGTTTGTGGTGTTTTCCAAGGGTCATGCTAATGGATTCCCTAAGAATCCACCAATGGATCTTCCTGTCATTTTTGTGACCCCTTTTCTGTACTCTGCCTGTCGGAGTACGTCGACGCCCTTGGATATGGTCATCCATATTACTCGTGGAAAGAGCCACATCCATACCCACTCGTGGAAGGAACCGCATCCATATCACTCGTGGAGGGAACCGTATCCATCGTTTTAACTACACACACACACCACAACCCACGCACCGCTCTACGGAAACCCAGAGCGAAGAACAACCGGCGTCGGCAGAGCGGCAACTGAGCACGCCCGCATTTCACCGCGCCGCGGCGTAGCGCGGCGCCTCCTCCTCTCTGGTTCCAAGCCAGCTGTGCGCTTGACAGGCGAAAACGAAAGGGCTCCTTTCGACGAAAACTCGGCGGTGCCTGTCAGTTTGTCAGCGCCGGGGAGAGAGGGAGCTAGAGGTTGACGCGTGCTGACGTCAGCGCTTCGGACCAATGGGAGCGTCCCACGCGTCACCCTCTCCCCCTCCTTTTCCCTCTCTCCGCGGCGCTGACAAACGAGACACCGCCCAATTTTCGTCGAAACAAGCGTTCTAATGCTAACGCATTAAAAAAATGCCCATGTCATGTTTGCGCGAACAGTGTCGCGCAGTATGCACTATGCGGAGCGCAAGTTCGTCTGCTCCTTGCGTAGGGTTGCATTGACGTCAGAACGCTGAGCTCTGATTGGGTCTGATTAAAAGGATAGTGGGTACACCTCAAAGCTAGCTGCCTTGAGGTCTACCCACTATCCTGCCAATCGGAGCCAATCACAGTTCGGCGTTCTGACGTGACCGCAACCTCTGCGAAAGGAGCAGACGAACTACCGCCGCGTGCTTTGACTGCCTCTGCGCGCTTGAGGTGAACGAGACGCCGAAGCGTTGTCGAAAGTAAAAAGCTCGCGCAGGAGGCGGGACCACCGAAGCTCCTCCCTGCCGTTCTCACCTTGTCAGTAACCATAGTGCTATTCCTGCAGCCAGCGGTTGAACTGCGTGGTGACTCCCCGAGTACTACCTCTCCCGGGGAAGTTATCCCAGCCGGTCTATAGCCGCTGACAGGTTAAGAGCTACTAGAAGCTCCACCCACCTCTCTCCCCTTTGGCAGAGTGAACGCTAGGATGGAGGCGACCTCCTCTCCAGCATTCGCTCTGCCGAAGTGGAAAGAGGTGGGAGGAACTTCCACTTTATTCTTAACCTGGCACAGACTACAGTATGCAAAATAACCGCCTCGATTGATCTGAGCGCGAGAGGCTATATATCAATTTCACTGGTACTCAGTAACGCTTGCATCTCTTATCGCGATCCTATAATTCATTGGTTTGTATGAAGGTAGTAGCCCAGGAAGTAGTTACCCGAACGTGTAGATAAAACGTATTCAGCGATATAAGTAAGCTACACACTTGTTTTTTTTTTTTTTCGTTTCAGGTATCACCAGAAGTACCGCCTTCAGAGACAGACAGCGCTCTACAAGAGCCTGCAAGACTCTGGCATGAAGGATGTCACCAAGAGTCATGTAGCGACGCGACTGAATGGCTACGTGGGGGGTTTTGGCACGATGGAAGCCTTCGAGGCCGAATGGCAGCAACTGGGGCTGTCCAGCGAGCAGGCCAACGCAGTCCGTGCCCTTATTCGGAAGGGGGGCTCCAAGTGAATCGTTTATCGGTCGGGGGTTGGTGCGCGGTTGAAGCAGAGTCGAAAGGACTGAATCGCAGCCGCCCCAAAGTGCTGAGTGTTACAATGAGTGCCAGCGTTATTAAAATTTGCTCTTCATTTTTTTAAAGAAATTACTTATTGGCAAAATGGCAGTTATCTTCGTCCGTGACGTAACATCTGTTAGTTACATTACATCTCTTCGCAACATAAATCATACATAGACCACGGCAGGCAATGTATAAGCATGCACAAAGCACATAGAAGCATACATGCGATTAAGTAAACATACTTAATCGCATTTAAGATTAATTAATCGTAATTAGACTTACGAGCGGAATAGCGGGAATCGAACCCTGGACCGTGCGGTCCGCAGCCCGACGCTTTTGCATAACGCCACAATAAACTTGTTTTTTTAGTAATACGAAGGAGTCCCAATGATAAAATCACATGCACGAACGACAAACTATCTGCGTGTATGAAATTCAATATTCTTTCACGTTCTCAAGAATGTCCAGGATTGCCGTCCATTCAAGTGGACATTCAATCCAGCGTGACTTCAGGAAGGGTCACGAGCTGGTGAACGGGAAAGAAGGCAGCCGGACTTGGTGAGCCCAGCTGACTCCCGACTAACTGAGCGTAGGTCCAATATCCAGTCACTGCATGCCCCACGTGATCTCACGGCGTCACGAGACGGATCATAACTATAAAAACGGATAGCGCAGCGGGCGTACCCGAGGGCCCTACACGTCAGAAGAAGCCCATAGAGACCTCACGTACACATTCCTAAATCGATTTGATCGTCCTGATAATCCTGGGGAGCACATGAGTGTGTCGTGAGTGCAACGCATCCGACACCACCCAAAGCTCCCCGTAACTAAGCGTGACAAATGATGACGCGCACATGACACCTTCTGTGCTCCCCGGGTGTATCAGAACAACCAATATATATTTCATTTTTAGTTGCTCTGTGCGATATGCTCCGGTGGAATAGCCCGCGGTAGGGAGAAAACACAGGGACACAGGCACAGCAACCGTCAGAGCTCAAGGTCCAGAAGCACGCAACAAGACTAAACTGGGAGACCCCCTGGGCCCTGGCCACCAAAATTACAGCTGATCAGGTCGCGAGCGGTCGTGCATGAGGCTCACCACGTCGCCGGTTTCTCGCACTTTTCTTCTTCGGTGAAAAACAAAATTAGTGGAGACATCTCAACCGTAGCCGTCACGATGAAGCTATAGTGCCAGTAAATAAGCTACACTTCACAGTAACGACACTTGGCCATAATATGGCTCAAAACCATTGTTGCCATGTTATTGAAGCTTTATCTGAAATCACAGGAAACGCTCTTCCGTCCTCCACAAATGTTTAAACAGTTCGCGACAAAGCAAAGCAAAGCTTTCTAACACCGAATCTAATGCTGAGGAAGTCGCACTTTTGAATCATGACGATCGGCAGTTGTGTCTGCTCCGCACAAGTACCAAGATGGGGGCGCCCACAACAATGTCGCGGGGAAGAAGCAAGTGCCAGCGTTCGCTGTCGCGCGTCGCTTTCTGCGCGAGCCTTTTTCCGACCCTGCAAGACGAAGCAGCCGCTTACACTAAAGCCCCTCGATATGTTGGTGTTTGTCTTGCAAGAAGCGGCAAATGCAAGTGCACGAGGCCCGTGTCTCGAACGGCCCTTGGAAGCAAATGGCGGCGCAGCACTGAAAATGAGCGGCCCTTGGAAGCGAATGGCGGCAAGCACCCGCTCGTGCGGCACGTGTCTTGCGTGTTTCCAGAACAATGGTTGACGGTACTTGTAAAAAACGCCATTGTCAAGGTGCTTTAGCTTGTACCATAAAGTTATTATATGTGCGCCTCACATAGCGTGCAGGGGGGTTGTGTGTGTGTTTATACAGCCTAGAACTTGGTCTGCCTCACAGGGGCGACGAGACTCCCAGCTGTAGATGAGAAATGTAGCCAGTGCGGTACAACCGCTAGCCTGGGGTCTTTAACGTGCATCACGCAGTAGTGATACACGACCGCACGCCGATACGATGCTCATCCAGATCGAAACGGGCAGGGATGGGGCTCGAACCCAGGATCCCTGGGTTCTGCAGCGCGAGCTTTCGCTCCACGTGCTCCGAGCCATGGTGTGCGCTAGACCACTCGGCCACCGATCCCCCCCTATAGCGTGCAGGCTCCTTAAATCGACCGCAAAAATCGGTTTCTTAACCTATTGCGATGCAATTTTGTGCATCGTTGCTCACAGGTGGTGCATTTTTTTCTCATATACAATTTGCAAACAGCGAACTTACCGAAGGGAAAAGTAATAAAAAAAAAATGGCTGAACTCCTATGGAAACGCAGCGAAGCCAAAGGACTGCAGTATTGTCTGAAGACCGCTAGCTTCGCTGCGTTTACATAGGAGTTAAGCCTTTTTTTCTTCTTCTTTTTTTTTAGTTCTTCCTCAGGTAAGTTCGCTCTGAAAATTGTATAGACCAATTTCACCACCTGTGGGCAACGCTGCACGAAATCGTAGCGCGATAGGTTAAGAAACGGATTGTTGCGGTCGATTTAAATAGCATGGCCGCTTTTTGAGACACCCTGTAGATCGACCTTTCAGATCATACAACCTCGGAACGAAATGCTTAGGTGCCGTTTTACCTTTTATAGCGCAGCATGCGGCCAAAGCACAAAATAGAGAAAAGTGGCGAGCTATCGTTAGAAGCAGGGTATTCGTGATACAGGTCCAGGCGGTGCCCCTGTACCCGGTTGTGACGTGACGGGTCAGATGACAGGTCACTGTCATATGTCCCGTCATGTAACTGTCATGTCGCCTGTCATATAACTTACCGTTTGTTTGTACGCGAGTGCGGGGAACTAACGAAGAAGCCATGTTCCAAGACCCTAGACCTTCTGTCTGAATAAAAAAGAAAAAGAAATGAACAAATATTTTAGTTTCAATGGGGCTTTAGTCCGTGCTGCACACCCGATCGAGCGTGCACATGGTGGATGTGTTTTCATTGCACTAGTGTCTTGTGGAGTTCAATATATTTTCCGTCGAATATTTCGTCGGTCCACATTCTGTGACATCTCCGAAACAAAATTACCAAACAACGCATAGTTAAAATAATAATAATAATAATAATAATAATAATTGTTTAAAAATTAAACTTAAATTATTGCATCATTTTTTTATACTGTTAGCACATATTATAAGCGTTAATTTCAGAGAGTTTAAAGAATATTGAAGATGACCTTTTTTAAAAAAAAATAATTTTCAAAATATTGGATATGTAGTCAAATGTTCCTGTGTGAGCAATTCTTGTAAATTTGTGCCGCTAACCAGGAGAATATTTTATGCAAAAATGAACTAAATACAGGGGAACACACTGACAAATTTTGAAGGCCTAAAGGCTCATTCACTCTGCCCCATTTTCTTACGTCAAGTTACGTTACGTACAGGCACGTAGCCAGGATATAGGTTTGGGGGGGGGGGGGGGGGGGCGCCCATGACAAAATGCTGTATGAGGGAAAAGGGGGAGAGGAGGTCCCAGCAAAATGAAAGATTTCGGAGGGGGGGGGGCATCATGCCCCCCCCCTCCCCCCCTGGCTACGTGCCTGGTTACGTATAATTAAGTCACCGAAACATTCGTGTCTCGAATGTCACGTGTCATGCTTTCCCCTTGAACTGGTAGCCTCGCTCAATATGAAGCACAGAGGATCCCCATGACTTCAACGTAATATTTTGTTTAATCCAGAACGTTATTGCGCAATGTGCCATATTTGCGATTTTTTTCTAAAAATAACGACATTAATACTCGGTAATTAATACTTTTTGTCAATTTGTTCTATGCCTAATTTGTCAGTAAATATACCTAGACCCGTAACCGCGATGCTTAATTTATGTTTGCGGAGGAAAAAAAATGCTCAATTTTAAATTTTTTTTTTTTTTTTGGGGGGGGGGGGGAGGGTTGATTTATTTACATACTTGTTGTGTCAGATTACTTCACGCGATGGGTCGAGGCTTTTCTGCTGAAGTCCCAAGAGAGCCAAAAGATCGTCGTTCGGATTTTTTTTTTTTTTTTTTTCTGCCGCTATGGAGTCCATACAAGTCTTCAAAAAACATTTGAAAGCCGACTTTCTCGAGAAGTGTGTGACTTGCTCGGAATTAAGAAAACTAGAGTAACCGCGTATCGCCCTCAATCGAACGGTTGGGTGGAAAGGTTTAATTAACAGAACGCTTTTGTCTATGCTGAGCGTCTATGTCGATCCGTCCCAAACAGACATGCAGGGGGCGGGTGTAGCACGATTGCCCCGCGTGCAGAATCCCTGTCGCAAAAGCCCCGCTTCATTAGCCCCACGTTTCGAAAACCACGCGTTCATATTACCCCGTCCCGTATTCCCCGCGTGTCAAAAGCCTCGTCCTCACTGCCCCGTTCACCCTCTTCTCGCTTCAACCACCACTGTTCCATGTCTTAAGTTAATCTGTTGAGTACCTACTAAGGGTTTTGTAATTGAAAGAAAAAACAAAATAAGGTTAACTTCAACTGCCGAAAAACTTAAAATGACGTACCAGTGGCAAATTGCATAAATCCGCATGACCATGCAGCGATGCACTCCTCTGTCATAGGCGGGATACTCAGACGCAGAGTTATGAACTTTATCTACCTAGACGACTCCAAATATTCTCTTTTAGAACGACGTACGAAGAACGAAACTGGTGTTTGGTGCTGTGATAAATATGGCGCCATGAGCTGCGGTTTAACAGTTTTGACAGAACCCACTTCGTCGGAACTGTGAATCCGCGCATGCTTCAGAGTCGACGAAAGCTTCGGTTCAATGCTCATTGATAATAGTTGTAACTTCAAATGTTTTGCTAGTGAATTATATTGTCTGCGTATTTTCACTTCTAACGTCGCAAAGCGTCAATGTGTTTAGTCCACGCCTGAAGAACGGATGCTTTATTCAGTTATCAAGTGGGACTTGACTCCCGGATACGTCATGATTACGTTACACAATCTCGCGTGCACACTGTCTCTTAGCTAAAAGCAGAATGCTCCACCGTCACGTTGAGGACCCGGCCACCAGACACGGGGAATTCCCGCCATGGGCTTCTGAAACTGGGGTTTTCGAAAGCGAAACA